CTTGATGGTTAACGCGTTCGCCGTGAAACCTGAAGGTCCCGAGTTCGACCCCTAGCCGGGTCGTGGGTGCGTGCTGCTGAGGAGTCCCATACTAGGACGAAACAACTGTCCAGTGCTCCCAGATTCCTAATGGTTCCCCAACTGATGTCAGTCAATGATGAGTACTACTTCTAAATTAATCCCCATTCTATGTTGTTACACCTAAATCTGTTTCAGTCTACGTTATATATGTATGTATGTATGCTCTTTTCCATTGCTTAACGGTATATATAATCAAGTCTGTAGAGTATCCAGCTGACGAGTGCTACTGAAGTTTATGAATTCATTAAATCCTGCTTTTTTCACACTTGTTGTTTGTTTTAAAAGGCATTCGATCATATGAGTAGACAAAGCTAATTGAAATGGTGACTTCAAAGTGTGTGACTCTCTCGAATGCTGCGGATATTGTCAAAACTGTTACAGACACTTAGACCATTGTACTTTATACATGTTTTGATCCTGCAACATACCAACTCGTATCCTTCTAAATTAAATTTACTGTATTCCCACTAAATTAAATGTATCCAGTAATTTATTGGTTAATAGTTTAGCCTACTTTTCTCTTGACTGTAAGTTTGTTTTTGTGTTAAATTTATGGCATGCACACGCATGCGAGTACCTACTCCATATAATCAGTTCTAATGGTGATAAACTTTTATGGAAATAAAAAGACAGTTTGTGATCACATCCATGCAGATCACATTTTGATGAAACTAGAGATCATTGTAAATTATTTCTATTTCGTTTAACAGTGCCTGCGCACATCAACGCCGGTCGAACTGATCCAAGATTAATACTATAAGATCAGGTTCCTTGGTTTTGTGAACAAGTAAGCCAATTTTGTCGCTCAAGCACCAACACAATTTCAAGTGCATTTACAAGCCCTTATTCATAATCTAATGGGAGCCATGGTATTCAATATACAATTATTGAATTGCTTGATCATATCTATATCATAACTAATTGCTGGCCAAAACTTTAATGAAATGTTTATCATTACAGGCACTTCATTCTAAGTAGAAGTGCTGAAAGAACTGTTGCGTGATAGGAAAAAAAGAATGATAAATTTGGCCGAAATACATGCCTAGTTGCATAAAGTTCTGACGCAATCAAAACCCCTTATGATAATGAAATCAAACAGGGGTAATTGCTGAAATACAATCTTTTCTCATCAACAGATGAGGAGAAAGTTTCGTTGATATTATTAATTCGATTCATTTGTGTCCTAGATTTTGTTCTTCATTATGCGTCTTGTACAGGAGAGTTTGGTTGTCACAATGTACACTGTTAATATTAAATGTCCATGTACATTAGATAATGACCATTCATTTTTTATGGTTATCATTTTTCAACCAGTCAGCTCTAATGGTACCAGCTGCCCTAAAACTGCTTCAGATGTAGAAACAAAAAAGAGAAATCAGCGAAACAACATTATCGATTCTGAATGCACTATGCTGAAAAATGCTAAATGATGAAGTCATATGCAAACAAAACACTAGAAAAAAATTTTTCTGAAACTCCAATACATTCACTGGGTTCGTATATGTCATATGTCTTTCGAAGATGAAAAATTTTGACTAAGCTGTAAATATAGAGCCAAATACTGATTTTGATTTGTATCGTGTACCATTTCATCTACGGACATATAAACGTCATGTAGTAATTAAGGCTCAATCAATTAATGTTTTCGTGACAGAAGAATGGTATTCCTCTTCAATGAGAACTGGACCTTGGTTTAGAATAGTTACTCCTGTATCCCCGTTCCTGACAGCAGTTCTGTGGTGAATGTTTATCTTGTAAGATTGTTTCACTGATGTGCACTGGAAAATATAGGCTGATATACATACTTAGACTTCATAACCTGATTTCCATAAACTCGATCAGATCTAATAAATGTTTGTAGAATATTTCAAACCAGATATCATATCAGAACGAAAAACTTCACCGAAGTCTATCACCATTAGTTGAAAAAAATCTTAATCTATTTGCACAAAACAGATCTGTATAAAAAACAATTGTGTATCAACATCGAAATATTTCGTTAAACCATAGTTATTCCTCTGTGAATGTGCGGCTAGTGAGCTCATAAAAAGTCAATATATCTCCCAGTACCACTTATAATAATTTCAACCTCGATCATATGTAAACTGGCAGAATCAGCCAGCTAGTTATTAATTCTGTTTTACACAAAAGCAGTCCACTCTATTCATTTCTTCATAAACAAGAAGAGTTAGCGTGATTGCTTTGCAGTATAATAACTACTTATCAGATGTTATATATCCGCTGCACTTAGCTGAAAATGATAACAATGTGTGACAGTTGATTTAATCTTCTTTCATGGGGAAAATAAAACTGAGTAACAGTTCGGTAGAGGAAAACTTTACAGAGGGGAAAGCTGGTGAAAATGCCATTTTTTCATGAACTCCATATCAAGTAGTGCACAAGTGTCTGACAACTGTATTCCATGAAGAAATTTAAACACTCAGGTTAGATTAAAACAACAGCTTTCATTTCATCATACATTGCATCATTTGCATTTTTGTCTCATAATCACCAGACAAAACTACGTAATATATTTTTTATTGAATCAATCGATAACGTTCTAATGGTAGATACTTTTTTGTAGTCAGAATGAATATAACAATCAATTTTTGCAATAAGCATATGATTCAACCAAAAGAAGAATGAATATAGAAATCAATAAGTCCATGCACAATGAATATACTGAGTATATGAGGATGAAACTCAACCTATTTACTTGATTGTTCATAGGAAGTACATGTTATACCTCAGTAACATTAAGAAAATTTATGGTTAACCTATGTCAAAATGTTGATTTACACAGCTTGAGAAACAGAATTTGGTTTTCATAGTGGTCCAAATATTTCCACAAAACTATTAAAACACTGTTTGACGGCATCTCCGTATCTTCAAGGATTTATTTGACATTATGAGTGGCATTATGTACCAACACTCCTGCGCGCCCCTTTTGTTACAAAGAGTGTTTGAAGTCTGAGACAATTGGTGGAAAAAGTTAAAACCAAATAAACTCTACACATTCATAATTTATTTTTATCCTTGCTTTTAGGTAAAGATATTCAATTTTATTTAATATAACGGTTTAATATACGTTTCTCGTAACATCTCGCATAAACCTCAACAGTGGCAAATTACGCCTCGACTGAAGAATCCATGTATGTAGCTAATATAGTCAATTACTTTGTAAATGGTAGGCAATCTACTCCATGATATCCAAATTTCATTTGAACTACCTCAGAATTTCATTATTGATTCACATTTCTGAGTGGAAACATTTCCTACTAATTTTCTTCCGTCAAACAAGTTAATCATTGAATTTGTTAAATGTTTATTCTTTCCTCATCTCAAACTTATGCATAGATCTATTCCAGTCATCGTGTTTATTTCATACCACCTCATGATTTCTTTATTTGTATTTACTAACACTTGAATGTTGTATAGTGGATCCTATGAATGACTGAAGATCTGATGCGATTAGTTCTTTTTATCATTCCCCCGTAGCTCGCCAACTAAGAATATTATTATCATCACTGTTATGAATTTAAATATTACTATTCTGTCATGATTATCATCTATCACTTAGAATTCTTCACAGATTATATATATATATATATATATATATATATATATATATATATATATATATATATATATATGTCCATTTATACGATGATCGATCATTCGTGAGAAAAATAGTTCATTGAACTAACTATTCTTTAACAGTTCATTTCTAAAGCTATATAACCGTAGAAAAAGAATAAATTCCCACGATGAATCATTGTATGTTTCAGTGTATGTTCATGTTAGAGATAGCGTTACATTACTTACAATCGCAAAAGTCGATCAAGTGGATTTTGTTGGTAGACTAAAAGCGTAAACTATATGGTGTTAGTGTGACCTAAATACTATACAGCTATGAATTAAAACAATGCTAACTGTAATTAACAAAATGAAATTCATGAGAAATGAGCCTTAATCAAGAATTGTAGGTGGAACAGAATGATAACAGGAGACGAATGAGTAAATTTGAAATAAGATCGATTCTATAGATTATCAGATGACCTTATTTAACCATTTTGTGTTTCACTATTTATTCAGTTAAACACTTTATGCCAATACTGGTGAAGTACCTCCATGTTTTAGCTTGACTGTCTGCTTATGACATGCCTATTTCTGTTGTTTTAATTGGGCTTGATTCCAAAACAGTACCATGGCTCTAGGTAAACCTATGCATAAGCCAGCGATTCGGCCATATCACTCCACATTTACAAATGAGTTCCTTTCATTATTCCTCTTTGTGATACTCTGAATTCGTTAATATTGGATACAATAAGTTTCCTGGAGCTTGAAATTCACATGTGAATTTAGTGCGTGAAGTGACTGCTCATTTAGGAGTGTTTTCAATTTTGACTTAATACGAAATATTTATCTTCATATTTCTTAGTTGCACATGTAGCATAATTCTGCAGACGTTTTGAATGCGAAACATTTACTTATTAGGGAGAAGATAAACGTGCTCAATAAGTTTTTTATCCTGTGACCGAAGCTTAACGTGCCAGTATCAAGACCTAACAGCCTTGGACCGCCTTCCTCAAATGATCATGCATGCAAACTGTTGAGTCTCATACAAAGAAGAAACTTCTTTCAACAGATTCTAGATTACCAATGGTTCTGTATCTGATATCACTCCATAACAGCGACTAACATGAGATAAATCGACTGTAATAAACCACTAACATAACATACTTTAACACTGATTATTTTATTTGCCGGCATACAGTCTTAAATAAAGCTTGACAAATCTAAATAAACACATTTTCACAACAAAATTCTTCTCCGAATAATCTGAATGGATACAGATTTGTAAAAACAGGAAGCTGACCACCAACTTCCCAAGAAATTGATATAAGAGCAAATTAAATATAAGTAGGTACCTCAATTTATTTATGTATCCTGTCCGGTACATGGGACTGGTCATCATCAGCCAAAGCTGAGAAGTTAATCACAGTATATACTCATGCATTCAATAAGTTGGAAATGGTGATCAGCAAAATCCACTAGTCTGTGAGGTGTGAACAGAGGTCAAGTGACCGAATTTATCACGTTTGTTGCATTCCACATACTTCTAATTCCTACTTATACACAACACGTTCGGGTGAAAAAGCACGCGCCATGTTGAACTTTCCAGTTCAGAAACAAGTATCTTCACAATGCCACTCACTAATATGTGCAGATACAGTTTATTTTTTATGTATTTTACACTTTGATACAAAAGAACAGGAAACTGTCAATAAGAAGACAACCAGGAAACAAAACATCAGCATATCAAAACCTGGTTGTCTTTAATTGAAATTAGAACGGAATAAACTTTTTGTCTACCAAATATCAAGGAAGTATCGAAGATAAATATGGTGTAATTTCAAAGTGAAATTTTCATCACGACCATAAACCGCCTGCAGGTGAGTTCATTTATGACTCATATTTGCACAAATTTATAGTGAGATCTGTTTTACAAATTGAGAAACATACAAACGAGGATATGAACTTTATTCTGCAATCGTAGAAAAGATATTTCGAAAATGTAGAACAGATAACCTACCAAAAAATATAAACTTAAACACTGTAGAATGAAAAATAATGCAAAACATTCATCTTAATACACTGCTTTGATGTCGTACGTTCGCTCATCAACAGTAGATATTCACAACTCATGTAGTAACTTATTCCACTTTTTAAAGAGACAACAAACTTATCACGTTGATGTAATCTTAAATGATACCGTTGGACTGCATAAAGTGTTTTCCATTCCAAGGTTCAGTCCAAAGTTTTCTCCACTTATTCACAGACAACAGCTGATGTGTTAAACGATATGTGCATCACCCGCATAAAGTGAATTTATTATCTTCCACATTCTCATATACCGTAGTGATGACTGTGAGATATTGTGTTTATCCTGACCGATTTCGAAATTCCCAAAGATTACCAGTGACCAACCACTTGACAGGTGACATTTATTGATATGACCTCTGCTAATAATTGTCAATTAGATGGTGAGCATCGTCATCTAATAGTTTGTGTGAAATATACCCATAATGATTTGATGGAAGAACAAGTATTTCAGTGAAGAGTCCCTTTTCGGTGATTTCATTTCCAAAGCTGTACAGTCGCAAGTTTATACTTTTTTTCTAGTCTAAGGACTTGATAGTTAAAAACGGTTTGTCAAGCATGACAACACAAATAGTGTCAATAAATGAGTTATCATCAAGATTAAAATAAAAAACTGATGAGTAGTGAGTATTAATCAAAATAAGCTTGAACATGAAGTTTGGTAACTGGATTGTGATCAGGCAGAACATAGCAACAAGAATGAGTAGCACATTCTTAGGAAATGAATGGTGTCGAAACAGAAAGATGAGAAGAAAAAAGTGTGGGGGGGCGGGGGTAGAGAAGGGGTTGAACAATCTTCTTTTGTGTACACAGTTCAGGCTTCTCTATTTGGATGGCAAGAGCTTCGCCGATGCAGAGATTACGAAGATATACATCCTTTGGGAGGTTTCTTTTCACTTTATAAATGACTTTAAAGGAGGAGGTTTTTGAGATAGTGTGATTTGTGTTCACGATATGTTCAATTATAACACTCCTTATCGCTCCACTGTTACCTCTTTGTCACCACGTAGGATAATGTTCTTGAAACCTTTTGGATAACAGTTGTGTCGAATGGCTTATATACCTGGCTCCATAAGAGTGAGTGAATTAATATGTGCACATAGAAAGGATCAGATGCGAAAGTTTCTCCTTTGAGTTGTTATAAATCGTTGGGCGACAAGAGGATACTAGTCTTAGCGTTGATGTAAAGAATGTTCTCTTTAGAGCGTTTGATATCCTCCTTTTTAGTGTCAGTGGCAGAATCACCTTTGATGTTGAGATTCATATAGAGTACCTAACAGTTTATTAACATTATAACAGTGGTCGAATTTATTCTAATAGGATTCGAATCTTTGAATAAGCAATTTCTTCTAGTCTCAAATAATTATATTTTCTACATACTGATTTATTACTACTTACCATCTGGTGTTTTTACTGAAATAATAAAATGGAACAAATAAGTAGATGTTGTGTTTCAGTTTAATAAGAATAAGAGTCGGTTATTGCCTAATTAGATCATGAGGTTGGTCGAAAGTGAAACTTTGAAAGTGGATGAATAACGCTAATCAATTTGAAACTACTAACATAGGAATGTACACTTGAGTTGTAGTGCAAATTTCAAACCAGTCAATTATTTTACATACGTTGTTTCCACCATTTGATAGATTGGAATGAAGTCAAAACTAATCAACTTAAGCTTTTTGACAGCTTCTAGACATAATTGTAGATGAGTCAAAATCGGATGAAATGCATGTTTTAGACGAAGCTTCTCACAACTACGAAATACCATAAGAGATATTAATACTCAGAGATGAAAAGTACCACGTATGGTCAGCGTTTGCTACTCTGAAATTGCATTTGACGACTGGCACATATAAGATTACTAATTAAATGCACACCTGCTATTACAGAGCGCATACTTCAGTCGTTTGACTACAATTTTAATGCATCAAGTAATATAAAGTATTTTACTGGTAAACATTTGTTGACTTTTCAGGATCAAGTGCTAATGGATGACCACTGAATAGCTGTCGTCAAGTCTCATACTTTTCAGCATGTCTTCCAACAAATTTCCAACTCTGCAACCATCACAATATTTTCACTTAGAAACCACAAGTGTGCTTTCAGATCAATTAACATAGATAATGATGGCGTACAATCAAGTAATTGATTACAAAAACAACAGGCAACACATGGCAATGAGGAATAGTGACTTGATGTGAAGCTGAAACATTGTGACATTCATAATAGAAAGGACAGTGTTTCGGTTCAATAAGTTGGGTCGTATTGCACCGGAACAGCACTCTTCGATAATACTCGATGTGTGTTTGCCAGGATTCGCATAGAGATAAGTTGTGTAAGCAAATATATGAATCAAGGGAGCCTCAACAAAAGTCTAAACAGTCAAGATGGAACCGAAATTCCTGTGCTTTTCATAATTCTGATAACCTGATCGTGTCTCATGGTACAATAGATTTTCAAACATACGGACACAGAGATTAAGTGAGAAACATAAGATAGTTTATGAATTAACTACTCAGAATTCATAACACCACAGTGGAGGGTTCACTCAGACGCTGCTTTCCAAATTTTGATTACGACCTTTTTTAAAAGAAAAGATATTCCTCTTTAAAGCAGCTATATGCGACTGGGTGGTAATATGCATGAGGTAGATGCTTATTTAAAGAGTTCGTAGAGGGCAGTAACGCATCACTTTGTCGCACTAATTTCCAGGAAGTCAAATGAGAAATGGTCTAACGCAGTTTTTGTGCCCTGAAACTTCAGAAACCGCCTTGTTGTAAAAATACATGACTACGTGGAGATAAACACTAGGCCTTGATAATGCAATGAAAAGCATTCATTTCGACATTCATTAAGATGAGTGGAATGCATTTTTAAGATAAAATATTCTATTAGTTATATGTGCAGCTGTCAATAAATTCGGGTAGAATCAGACAGACGTGATACGAATTATGATATTTATTGAGTCAGTCAGTGCTTGTTTGGGATTAGTTGAATACAAATCAGCTTCCAACACTGTTTGATATCGAGTCAGAGAACATTAGGTTCCTGCTATGAAAAAATTCAAATTCAGACACTGGTTTGGAGTCCATTCGTTCTCATTTCTCCATTCCAGTTAAGTAGCGATTGACTGTGATCGCCATCCACTGTCATCACCAGGAAGTAATCGTCCGAATGCCTTAATTAATTGGTTCTACAGGTCACTGCTTCTATTTAGAACTCCGACAATTCTATCTCTAACTCTTTATTGTTACCTTCGCCATAATTTGTGTATCAGAACCTTTATTAGCCGATTTATGATTCTCAACGACACACACTAATGCACACAATGGTATACACATAATGGTATCTTCAGACACAAACACCTTTGGAGCACATATCTCGACAAGGGCCTGTCATTTCACCTCTGACAACTTTATGATTCTTGTCTGCATATTTTCGCTGCGGATAGTCTGAATGTGAAATGCAGGTGGTTATTCTCGTGTCCCATGACTTCGATAATTCCACCCGCGCTGCATTTCCTACAGTGTACGTTAAAGCATAGGTAGTCTGAGCCCCGATTCATGCTACCTTCTTTATGAAGTCAGTGTTAGAATAACAGTGTCGTCTGTCATTGGTAAGAAGTGATGAGAACTTATGTAAGGTAGGCAAGCTGACTTACGAATAAGTTGTCCGCATACTGTAAACCAATGTGTAGAAAAAAATTTTCAGTCGGATTTAAAAACGTTGCAAATATCCTACACCAGAACTGCTAAGTGTAGATATCTGAACCAATCTGGAATGAACACATCACATTTCATACTCCAACACAGACACCTTCAGGTAACAGACGCTTCGAAACACGAATAAACGACCAGCGCACAACGATATTTGAAACATTTAGTCTAGGCGTCCTCATATGAGCTACTCGTGTGTTCACTTCAGCCACCACTTTTAATGACAATTCTTTCGCAAAAAAATTTTTTCATAAAGTCAACGAATTTCATTTTACGCATACAACAACTGTTACTTCTACTCTTTGAGTCCCATATTTCAGGGGAGAACAGATTGCAGAACAGAGATAATAGCAGACTAGTTTTATACTAACGATAGGTACACCACAAAACACAAGTCATATAGAGCAGTTGTGGAGTTTTTTCATACTAGTGGTCCATCGCCAATAATGATTGCGACAGCGGACTTCAAAGTTGTAATTGAGTGAAAATCACCATGATATTTTACCATCACTATACATTCAGAATTTTACTTGCATATTTATTCAGACTGGTACATTCCTGATTATTTTCCCATCAAACAGTGACAGTATAGTAATAGTTAATCCAAGTATTTATAATTTGCAAACGTAGGTTTCTCCGTAGTTTATTTATTCTTACGCCTAAAAATCGAGCACTCAAGTGAATACATAGGCAAATGAAAAACTCAATGAAACTAACAAAATTTCATCACTTCTAGGTCAAAAACGTTTTGTTCATTGTTGCATTTCTGATGCAGAATAATGAGTACAACGTCACAATCCAAAGCCATAAAATATACGCAGAGTGGGAAAGATGGAATTGACTAAGAGTGTGGTTGTCAGAAACCTAGCAGTTGATGGGCTAAAACTACAGGTATGTACATTGACTGAAAGAGCTTCGGAAATGCCACTTGTCTGCTAAAATATCAGATTCCTAACATCAGTTTCAGATGTAGCGTTCAGTATCAAGCTTTTGCAGCATCAAAAAATACTTTCCACTAAAAATCGACATTACTGCAGCACACAGTGCAATGAGACCTGAAAATCATTTTCTAGCCCATTCACACTACTATTAGCTCTAAACCAATGCAAACCAGTAAACCGCAGCATCATTCAATTAAGATTCATCTTAAATGTCACATGATAGAGTTCTAGGTGTGCCGTGTGACCGAATGGTTCATGCTTCTCAGAAACTAGATTAGGTGGATGATAACCTTATGACTTTCGAACAATGAGGTGCTGTGCACAACTTGAAGACCTTAGTTGCAATCACAAAAGACTTACTTTTTGTTGATGTTGCTGGAAAAGAATACGGAAATACTACATTTATTTCTTTTACTTGAAAGACCGTATATTATTCAAACAGCTTCGAAGCTTCCTTCACTCTTCTGGTTCACGCTTGACATTGTTTCCGTATAACGTGTTTACCTTCAGCTTCTGAGCAGTTACAATTCACTTTCAGAGAAAAAGTTCACTTAACAATAACTGACTGTGAGACTGTAGAACTGGACGCAGGTGTTTCTGAAGGAAAAAAGCCTTCAGAAGTCCTGTGGTTCAACAGCAATCACAACTTTTAATGTAGGTCGTATTATTAACATATTCATACACCTTGAATGCATTGCCATGATTTGGCATGCATTAGGTTAGGTCATGTCATGGGCTGATGCTGAAACAGACATTCGACTCCATCACTCAGAATATCTTGTGATAGTCACTTAGTGAAACGAGAGTTAAAGAGCTGTGTCTCAAGGAGAGAATTCCTTTCTTCATACAGCCGTTACATTGTGACAGCTGTCAACAGCTGGTCACTTAGAATGAAAATATTCGGTCAAGATTGTATGCTTCGACGTAGCCCCAACGCTGAAGACTGTTTTCTGACTCTGAGTTTCTTGACATTCTCATAGTATCCGACTATAGTCTGATCGCTCCCAAATGCACAGCATGAGCCTGAAGCACCGGAATAGAACTATATTGACTCTGCAGATATAGGATATGACTCTCTTAATGTGACAGCGCAGAGGACCAACAGGTGTTAATTAAACACATACAGAAGAACGTGTGAGAAAGGTTTGTGGAGGTTATGCTTACACTTTCCAATACGACAGAATAACCAAATGGTAACACTGCAAGTTTCCTCGTAGATGGGTGGCTCAGTTATGAGTTACACATATGATATCGTATAAACTGAAACGCTTTCCTTATTGAATTAAATAGATGGTGAAACAAGTATTAGGCTGATAGGCTGATTGAGGCACCAAATACACATAAGATCTGCAACAGCTTGTTTAAACCATGGTATAGTAAAATGATAGTTTGACTTTCTTAGGTCTTTTAGATAGCAGAACTCAGTGGATATGAATGTTTGGTAGTGTTTTTTAAGATTGATCGCGGTTATGCAGATCCATCTGTTATTTATTCTACTTCAAGGCGTCGAAGTAATAGTACTATGTAACGTGTTACAGCTGATCGAACTACTTGTATTTATTATGTTTGTTCCAATGGTTCATGAGTGCTGTCAATATCAGTAATACATTTTGCTTGTTTAGATAATTAAACCAGGTTTGTGTATAGTGGAAAAATGGGAAAAACTTCTGAATAATGGGTGTGTTAAACCCTTTTGGCTTTTCCTTTTCATGTTTTCAAGTAGTTGGGAAAAAATGAATCAGTGTACAGTTGTACCGAATGCCAAGTTCATTCGGATATGTTAATACTTACTACAGCTTCGAATAAATGAAGTTTCAGTCGTTAGCAAAGTGATATTAATGGGAGCATAGAAAAATGTTCAGTGACAGTAAACATGCTCGATGCCGGCATCATCCTGACCAAACGCTGGAAGCTTTTAAAAATTTATGGCTTTACAAATCATGTAAGCTTACCACTTTCACATTCTGAAATAAAGGAAGACTTTAGTTAAAATGATTCCTAAATATATAAGTACAAACAGTCATATGTTCGTTGATAAAAGTTAACTAAGAACAGTTATACACTGAAAATGTGATATCGTTTTCGTTGCACTGTAAAAATTGTACACTGAAGAATCAGATCAAACGAAATCACTAAATTTCATTTTCTTTAATCCTACTCTATCACGGTTACATCCATACTTTTTCTTTCACATTCATCTTACAAGTGAAAATTTTATGCGAGAAAAGAAATCATGCAGCTTACCAAGTATTACTTCTGAAACTGGAAATAAATGAATATCCTTGAAATGTTGAGAAAACTGAATGCTACAATATCTTAGCATTAAGTTATCTAATCATTATGTCCATGAAATGCATGACGAACGTACATCAGATAAAATGTGTTTATATATCAGGTGCTCACTTTCAAAAGAATCCAGTAAGTGGCCATGTTTTTCAGCATTTTTGATGACATTCTCCAGATTGACTTTCGTTTGTTCCACAGTACACTTGGCATATTCCATTGACTTACGCAAAGAATTTGTATGAAATTTCACAACGAACCATACGGCAGAAGAACCATAAGTGTTTGGATAATATGAAACTTCACAAGGTTCTGTAGGCAACAGGTAGTTTGGTAGTACTTTTTGAAGCATACTCGATATCTAAAATCAAGAGGAGTTCAACACCTGAGGAAAAATTTGGAAATGAAAATGAACTCATCAAGAATCTTTCTGAGAATAATGTTGGCGGTCAGATAATGAAACAGAATAGCTTTATCGTATGGTCACACAAGAAATCTGAATAAACAACGAGACGTATCGCAGTATGAAGAAGATATACCACGTCCCTTTGGTCTCAACATTCCAGCTCCTTACTTGGTCATAGAAGCTAGTATAGATTTTTTTCTAGTATTTTAGTTTCTTTATAAAACTACTTCCAACTAACCTGGTTTTGGGGGTCTATTTTTTACCGGAAAAATATTTCTTACTCTTCTTCATGGTTTCGATTCCTATGGCTTCTATTGTGGTTTATTTATGTCCGATTACACAAGTGTAATACAATCGACGTTATATGAGATATGAAAGAAGCACATATAGAGAATATCTAGTTAAATAGAATAATTTTTTCCATATTCTCTTCCGACAGTAAGTTTAGAACCAAGGTCATAGGATTTGAAGTTTAGTGCTGGATTAGGTTTTTATGTGATATGTTTTCATTACACCTGATTATATTACCTAAGTGATGAGATAAAATGGTACTGAATCAACAGTTAAATGGTTGATTATTAAACCGAAATATTTCAGCACTTCAGAATATATTGGCTATGACAGCCAAAACAGCAAATTCTATACGTAGTATATGTAACTGAAAAGTCTACTACTCAATGTGAAGCGGACACGCTGGCTCGAAAATTCGTACATGTATAACTAAGTGTCTGAAAGGCTTAAAAGATTACTTTTCCATACAAAAATAAACATGACTCACATTTATGCAAAGGAGTGTGTTCCAAGTTGGAAAAAGTGAAAAAGTTTCTACACGATAAAAGTATGCATAGCAGTTTCCATTCTTCATATGTCCACTGAATGTAATCGAAATTCTGTCTGTAAAGTTAATCAGCAAATGGGAGCTGATTTTAGTAAGCAGTAATGATGCAGTTAAGCACTTGTAGTTTTTTTCCAGATTTTGCAAAGACTGCCTGCATTATTAGTTTTACGAATAAGTCAATTGTAGGCAAAAAGGAGAGCTGTTTAAGGCGCTCAAGAATGAGTCAATACGGTATCAAGACTGTTTTGGCTATAGGACATTTGGAAATATGGTTCACATTTAGATATTACGCATATTTAACGCAACGCTAGTTACAACCTACCATTACTTGATGAAATGAAGCATCTTTATTCATCCTCTCAGCAACACAACCATTTAAAGTCCATGTTTTATTCATTATTTGATTAAAAATGACAAAAGTGAGATATGATGAAGTTATCATGGATTTTCGTGGAGTGTAATGAGGAAACTTAGTGAACATGAAAGAGGATATTTCGTCATATCAATACATTCCTATGGAATAACAACACAACTAACCCTGGTTATAGAATTGCAACGTTAATTATCTAAAAGCATATACTGCTACCAACATATTCATTATTTCTGTGTGCAAAATAAGTTTCATGTGCAGAATATGCACTAACCTGTGTAAACTTGAACACATAAACAATGGACAATGAGACAGCATACAAGATGCATAGAAATATTTGACATATTGGTGAATTACTGCAGATTGCTAATTTTCTATCACCTTTTATCTGCTTGCAAAACAGTTAGTAATTAGTGCTGAAGTGTAATTGGTTGTGGTATGTTCACTTGTTCAGAATTAGGGACACAATGTGTACTAATTATAATATCTGGAGCAACTAAACAATATTATAACAGAAAACATTCTTAGTAAACTTTTGCGCATGTAACGAGAGATTTTTTACATATACTGAATGGAAAAGTGATTTTCCAAAACACTTATGTAGTTTGTAATCACACCTTTACACGTTTTAATCATTCAGAACCATATTTTACAATTTAGTGTCCACTGAATGTCTAACAACCTGATAATCAAGAGGGTTAGAGAAAGAATTTTCAATTCACAGTCTTTTCCCCGTCCTTTCAATTCACTGGTCTATCAGTTCGATGATATTTCAGCAGTTCATCAGCTAATCACCATGAGAAATGTAATGAATTAGAAACTATGTAGATAATGCATTTAGACAACATTGTGTAAGCTTAGGGAAAACCAAGTAACTCAAAGATAACTCGTAGTCCGTAACCTAGCCATGGTAAATACTGACTTATGGGTCACGAACCGGCTGCAATACAATTTTTCTGAAAGGAATCGGTAAAGTGTACACAGAGAAAAACACTAAAACATATTTATTTGAGCATGCCGATGACTTAACCGTCTCGATGACAGCCGTTTCTGAATTAGAATATTCTCAAATGAACAGTTTCTTATCTGAAACTCATCAGTATTTTTTCTAATACTGTCAATCTAGACCTTAAAAATCCCAGATTCTTAATTTTTGTTTCAAGAGTAGATACGATTTTTGCGAACTGTTTTAGTCCTGTGAATCTTGTTTTATTGATAGTGCTGATAAAGAAAATTGATCATGACATCATGGTTTCTCTAGGAGATTGGCTTACCAAAAAACGAAATACAAATCTTCAAACTTAGGTTCAACTAGGCAGAAAAGGAAGTGCAATTAACTCACTGTGCTCATGAGTAGAAGATTTTGTGCAGATGATATGATAAACAAAGAGGTGGAAGTATTCTGAAAAGTGTTCATCGAAAGAAGTTATCCTTCAGAATTGGACCCTTGCAGTTTCATAGAAGATTCATTTTATAAATATTGGATTCGAAGTGAATTCATTGACAGAAATAATAAATGATTTTCTGTATAAAACACAAAGGAAAACCCTTAACCACCCATCTCAGGACTACTTCTTCCGTTTAGGAACTGGTTAGGGGATATGTGAAGGACAAACTATGAGTTCTGTTCCCTTTCATGTGTGTTTACCAGTTCATCCACTTCTATGGAGCTGATTGAACAGATCATAAAATGCGTGCTTTATCTAAACCCATCTCCGAAAACGATCCTGCATGCTCACCTAAAGTAGAGTACAAACTGATCTATAGCTCGATTCTTGAATGTTGAACTAACTCTAATCACTCAGCTTCACCAGGAATTTTCTTCAAAGTCATTTATAAATTTGAATCAAACGTTTTGAAACCGGTGTGGAATCCCCACTTAAAAATAATAGAAACTTAGGAAACTCATCACTTCAAGCCTGATCTTTATATTTAGAAGTATGTTTAATCTCTACCGTGGATTTATCATTATTATTTTCATTCTCTTTTCCTTGTTCCGTAATTGCTGATTTCACTGTTACATACCACTTTTCCTTCCTCTTCTATTACATTCTAGATTATTATTTAATTACATTGTAATTCCAGAAACAATTCACACTTAAATCAGAACTTACTCATCAACTTTTTGATGGCATATAAACAACCATTTTATTCGTGTTATCATTCAATTATTAGTATCTTCATTACTATTATAGTTAACATTATGAAGCTGCTTAAATTACACCGATTGAAAATGCTAAGCATCGTGGTGGTTGTTATATAAACTTTGACTTTAGGAATCCTCATAGCACACACTAACTGTAAATATGTTATACATGTTAATGTATTCTTACCTAATGTTACTTAGAAACCAGAAAATAGTTTAAGCGATATCTCCAAATAGTAACCTTGAGGTAGACCTTTTATGTTAGGATCGGGACTATGAAGAATCAAGAGGATAAGATCACAAGTTTTATCCATCACCATCTGATAGTCACCTACCACTTGGAAGATACTGAATATGAACTGCAGGAGTTCATATTATCCCAAACGACCTGTAGCAGGTAGTAGAAATTCGTCTCCTTTAAACCACTTAAGTGATCTCAGTTGAAATCTTGAAAACTGAGCTTTGTGTTAGTTACACGTTAATAGTTTCCCTAGTTCTTTTGTGGTCCTACACAGAAATGAAAGTAACATTATTCAGGTACACAGTATCTCAGCTTATCCGTGTGTATACTCTATTACATTAACTTGCTTCAACCTCAAGTTTGTAGTTTTAAGCTTCTGCACACCAACTTTTATTTCACTTAGGATTCAGCAGTTATCTTCACATTCATTCTTTCTCGTCGTACTCACTTCTCGTCCTCTGTTTATTCGTAACTGGCATTATTAACTACCTACACTTGTCAATCCTCTTATTGAAAAATTATCTGAAATCTATTAAACCAAACACTAGGTGGTGCTTAAGTCCTAAAATTAGCTTGACACAATGATAAATATTCACTTCGAAATCATGCATCAACTTGTTGTGTCTACTTTTCCTTGGTGTACACCACTGCTTTTAAAGGCAAAGTCTTGAAATCGTGGAGAATATTTGTAGCTCAGGTGGACGGTCCTGGTTGTATTGTATTCTCTGAGCTGGGTTGTTTAATCGTAAAGCTTTCATCATCTTTCTAGACATCATCAGCACTAACTTCAGTGTGAAGTGAGCTGTCAATATCTTTCCGTGAGTGACTTAGTAGCTTGCCCTGACAAACTGGTTTGTGATTGGTTGTTTCCTTTGGTTGTTGTGTCATCGACTATAGATTTTTCTGTTGGCTATTCCTCTGTTTGACCTCTGATCTTTCTGTCGTTCATCATTTCTTTTCATTGATTGATAGATTGGGTCTATGTCTGTACATTCATTGATTGCTGACTGACCTGAATGCCAAGCTTCTAGGAATTCTCTGATATTCTTTATGTTTCCTCTGTCCAATATTTCTGCAAAATCAACTGAAGTAACTGTAGTCAACACTACATTGGACAAAGTGGTCGCCCTCTTCGCCTTCGTCTACATGAACACCAATTGGCTATTCAACGTGATGACATTTCATCACTCATTTCAATGCATGTGGATAATTATGGATATGAATTCAATTTTGATAATGTAGAAATTTTGGATAGAGGAAACACAAAGAATATCAGAGAATTCCTAGAAGCTTGGCATTCAGGTCAGTCAGCAATCAATGAATGTACAGACATAGACCCAATCTATCAATCAATGAAAAGAAATGATGAACGACAGAAAGATCAGAGGTCAAACAGAGGAACAGTCGACAGAAAAATCTATACAGTCGATGACACAACAACCAAAGAAAACAACCAATCACAAACCAGTTTGTCAGGGCAAGCTACTAAATCACTCACGGAAAGATACTGATAGCTCACTTCACACTGAAGTTAGTGCTGATGATGTCTAGAAAGACGATGAAAGCTTTACGATTAAACAACCCAGCTCAGAGAACACACCACAACCAAGAAAGGCTAAGTCTGTTAGCAACTGAACAAAGGTACACATCCACCAAAAGTCTCATCTCCTGACTTCGTCAAAAGTTTAACAGTCAGAAGTTTTGCAATTCGCTTCTTCTAAATGATGTCCTGAAACAGTGAACTCTGAATGAACATGTACATTTAGGAAAAAATTTTCAACTATACAGTGACCGTTTATCAATTTTTTCTTCAATATCCTGAGAGTAGGCGTTGACTGTTCACAAGTGAAATATATTTTAAAGTTATGATGAATACACAAGGTAGGATTAGAAATATTTTTTAAACAAATCTAATCAATTATTGTGTAAGAAATGAATATTGAGACGTTCTTGAATACACTTCCTAACTTAAGACAGTCGGATCGTGGAAAGGTCTGATGAGTATTAAACGGTACTAGATTAGATAAAACATTAGTATCTCATGCGAGTTAATCTATTTTTACCACTTTATGCTACTAACAAACTTACGGTGAGTTCATGAGAAATTCACAGCCAAAATATATACCTCATGTCTCAGTATACCTTATTTGTCTTCCAGTTACGAGAATACAAAACTTTCTTAGTACCATAATTTGAAGTATACTGAGGTAAATTTCTCATGAACTAACTGTGAACTTGTAAGAAATATTAGGTAGTGAAAGTAGATTTTGTTTACATGTGAGGCTAATGTTTTATCAAACCTAATTCCATTCAATATTCACCTAAAATTTACATGATCACATCTCCAAATGTACGAAGGGTATTTAAGAATGTCCTTTAAGAATATTCTTCTATAGTTTCACTAATATAGGTGTAAAGCTTGGGGACTGTGGTAGAATTTAATTCCATGTTAGATTTATCTATTTGATTTATACCACACAGTGATATAATAAATAATACTATATCACTGTGTGTTACAAATCAAATTAAAAAATAACTAATGTGGAATTCTTCCATAGTGTTAAGCCATAAGGGGAAATATGAATCTCAGATGAACATTATCGGTCTCATTGTTTATTTATCCTAAAAAACATTCTAATTAAAACTTGTTTTATACAGTTATTGTACAGCTGAGTTCAAGGGATTTAATCTAACAATTACTCGTTTCTGTGTGATTTCTGCTTACGAAATGACTACATGTTAACTGAAACCAGTTACTGTGAATCTCCTCATTACTTATTGGTGACGTAACTTATCATTTTCGAAGACTTAATAAGTTATTTCACTTTCAAATTAGCATTCATCACAGACCGACATCACTTGTCGAATCGTCGGAATCTCCGAAGCACATGATAGTCGATTCGTATTACACGGAACCCCTTAGCAGTATGCACCTGCATCCCCAACAGTGGTCAGACCAGGAATCTTTACTTCAGACTGCCAGAGCTTCACAACTCTGCAGTGCTGTCTTTCGATGGTAGAAAACAGCAGATCACTGGCATTACTAGCTTTTGTAAACTTTTTTCAAGTTAATTAAGAGATACAAGAATTCAGGCAATAATTATGCCAGACCACCGTTGGAGATAAAGTGGTCATATCTGCCCTTCTGCGTCCAGAAGTTCTGAAGCAGTTACATTCAGTGTACTCAGACATTACACACACAAAAACACTTTTTCTTAGCTAAGTTCACCGGCTTAATATTGATGTTGAAATCGCAAAGTATGTGTTTAGTTGTACAGCATGCTCAAAAGCAGCCATAGCTACCAAAAAGACTGAATGGCATTTTTATCAAGCTTTACGCCGACCTTGATCTCCAGCAACTGAAAATTCCGATGGTTTCCTAGACGGCAAATATTTTTTATTTATCACAAATATCTACTCGAAATGACTTGAAGTTCAATCAACATGAACAGATTCAATCTTAGATAAGCTACTATATATGTTTAGTCTTCTTGGATCTCTAGAAAGGTTGATCTTATACAGTGAACTTCAGTTCTCGTCCTCATAATTCTCAAGATTTTGTGCATCGAATACAAGCAGTGGCATCAGATCACCTCCCTGTCATCCATAACGGAATGATCAAATCAAGAGGTTTGCTGACACATTTGAGAGTGTACTTATGGAAGTAAAAACGGAAGAAAGATTCAAAGGAATCCTTATGGAGTTTTCTTCAAATTATAGAGCGATACTAAGCCGTTCAGTCCCCATTGAGAGTTCTGCAGCAGAAGATATACTAGGAAGCAAAATAGGAATACCATTAGACCGAACGGGACCAGCTACTGGAATCAATAATAAACAGAATAGAAAAAAAGGAAGTAAATATTCTGGCACATATGGAGCTATTTCAATGAAATCCATAGTTGGTCATTCATTTGCAAAATGCTGTGCACAAATGTCTGTAAAACAGAAAGCAAGACCTCAGCATGGAACCTAACTTCTTAGCATAAACAAATATAGGGTGACAGCAGAAGTGAATATCGTCAGAAAAAAATGGGACCAAACCTATGGAGATCGTATTGGAAATAACGCATAAGTAGTGGCATATAATGACTCTAAACAAATGATTTTATCAATGAATTGACCGAAAAAAGAGGAAGGTGTTAGACCAACCGGTGAAAAATAAATACGAACCTGCAAATAATAATGCTATGAGTTTGAAGTTGAATGCCTTTTAAAATAAATAAAATCGTGCCACCGATAATATATATATAAATATACTATCGGTGGCACGATTTTATTTATTTTAAAAGGCATTCAACTTCAAACTCATAGCATTATTATTTGCAGGTTTCTCGACTGGTCCTGCTACAATTCTCATGACTTCTTTACTCATTCTCCTTTACCCTAACGGCATGGTAATCGAAACAGTCAATCAAGAAATTGTCTCAGTCATCCGGAACCGATGACAGTCCATAAATAAACGCATATAAATGTACTCCTTATTTCTATACTACAATTTTCTTCCCGTTAAACTATGCCGGCTGCTTCATTCTATATAACACTGCATAATGCTGTTTGGTGAAAATCATATGAAATGTTTCAGTGGCCTGCTCAAGTATCTGAGTCACTGAATTTTCCATCTCACCATACTCCATCAAAATTTTCAACGCTTTTGTTTGTTTCAATCATTTATTGTCTCTTGGTCGGACTACATATTGATGCACATTTTTAAGACACTTACAACCTATTATGATGGTTTTATCAAATAAGACGAGGAAAGAAGCATTATGGTGGAAGGTAAGGTGCTTTGAAGCGAAATACTTTATTGAAAATGACTCTACCTGAAAGTTTAGGCATAAACTGCTGATCATTGAGCGGGAAAATAGATTACTTACAATCTCTTTTATCCTCCGGTGTGTACAGTAATGCTGAAGCAACTACATCATAAGAAAATTGGTTTCATGCTCTTTATTATGGTAATTTGGTTTTTTGTGATGGTTTCAAATATTCCATCAGAATCTAATTAACTCTACTAAAATATTTGGAAGTGGGGTAGCTACCTTCATCAGTACCCATTGGTGCATTTCAAGTTATATATGCTTCAAATTCCAAAATGATTACATTCATCGCATTACTGTAAAATCCAGCCCAAGACATCTGGACAAACACAGCTTCATTTATATCACAAAAAGGTGTGTGACGCCCGGTTACAATTACCTCGCATTGTCTGTTTTCTCTGATGTCCTCACGAAATTCCCAGACCCTATACTACGTTATTCCATGTCGATAATATGTGGTGATTTTAATTCTTGTGACCACAGCTTTCTTAGAATTTCCGGTCATCAAAACCTTGGTTATTTCACAACACAGTAGGATGCGACAGTAGACTTGATATTCGTTAATGACACTGATATATTCGAAACTCGAAAGAAAGCCCACTGCTAAACCCGGATCATTGTATTATACATGTTTTGCCCAAAACAAATGGTATGTTACGCAAGACTGCCTTCACATATTAGTATAAGGAAATCATACTTTGGAACTATTCATAGAGTAAAATACCTGATCTAAGAGTAATGATATAAGGCAAAGATTAGATTAAATTTCACACTGGTATTTAGAACGACACTACTGATAGTGTGACATGCTATCTCAACACGCCAAACGTACATCTTCTCCTCAACTAAGGAGACGAAGAAGAGGAAAAGGAAGGCTGTTTGAAGTAAGTGGTAACTCTCGTAATTATCGATTGAACGTTTTAATTAGGTCAGAAATTAAACGTCTGAATATGCTATACAACCAGGAACATTTGTTGTGAAACGATTCTCCCAGTATGTGGAAACTTTTAACAACCTTAGTGGAAGTAAACACCTTAGTAAAAAAGCATCTGTTGACGTAGATATTCTAAACAAATCGTTTATACTTCAACCCAACTGTCTGATGTCACCCTTTCCGCCCAGTACTAATCAATAATATTTTTCTGAATTCACAGGGAAAGATTTTCTTAAGTGTCTCAAATCTCTGAACCCTTTACACAGTTTCGGTTCAGATTGCGTATCGAGTTCCATATTAATGAAACATGCTGATACATTATACCACCCACCAACCGTACCAGCTACCTGAAAAGACACTGAGATAATCCCACTGCCTAAGTAGGTGAATTCAGGCACAGGTTTAAAATTCCATTCGGTTGCGGTTACTTCTCCGTTCTTGAAAATAATGGAAAGGCTAATAATACCTAAACTTAAACTCTCATTCAAGGTTTCTGGAGACCTTAATCAATTTGCATACGAAGCACAAGAAGCACTCTGTATGCTACCACTGTCTTGTATCACAATATTTGTTAGAATCTCGATAGAACTACCAAGCGTGTCTGATGAGCGTTTTTTAGACTACACTTCTGCATTTGGTTCTGGCCTAAGATATTTTTTGCTGAATAAGCCAGCCGGGGAACATACCGAGTCTTGGATAAATGACTGACTGTATTCTTATTTTTTTTGAAAGGAAGGAATATACTGTTCACAAAAGGAAGCGCTTCACCTCATTAACTATTGAGGCTAGTGTTTCTCAAGGCACCGTTCTTTCCCGAGTCTCTCCTCTTTCTTTATGTATGACATGCCACCTTCAGCTAGCACCAACTGGTCAAAGATACTGATGGTCTAACAGTTTCCATATCTGTCTCCTCTTCACCCAACTGTTCTCAGTCAAACAATTTTTTATCTGCTGTTGGATAATGGTCCTTCATGAATGCCGTTGTGCTTATATCTAACTTATGATATTAGAAAGCTTAGGGTATCTTGTATAACTCAACCTATTCTCGTGTGTTTTATAAAATCGTACGTCTTTCTTATTATATTCCATTTTTTCTCCTTTATTATTTCCATGGTTAATGAACAAAACTATGTTGTATTACGCAAAACAATGAAGAATGTCTTCAGAACTAATAGTGTACCTCTAAACCTTCTAACTGAGACCATTGTAAACAAACATATTAACTCATATAAACATCTGGCAGGAGTTACTTTATTGGATGACCAGTTTCCTTTTCACTCAAAGCTATCTATGTGTCGGTCGTCAAGCAAGACCAGGAACAAGTATATATGACTTTATACGTGTACAACTAAATATAAAAACTCAAACATACCTTATTTAGCTCGTATCCCACTGCGAGGAAGAACATTCTAGGAATGAAACAACTAGTCAGTCTTTGTTTCTGAAAGCAAATGAAAGTTACCCTGTTATAAGCAGATATGTTCTTGAGTAGTGTATGACCGAAGTAAGAATTTAATTTACTGTAGTCATTTTTGGTTGAAGCATAAGACTATATAGTGTGCGCAATTGGTCTTTTTGATATCATACAGGTGTAGAGTTCGATGAACCTTGCACTAGCCTTCTACAAAATTTCCAGTTGTTAAAAATATCGCTCAGAATGTGACTGAATTACTGCGCATTATCCTAGTTTCAAAAAAGTATTGCAACCTCCATTTTTTATCATGAACACAATAGATGTATTCGTCAACTATCTCCCCACAGATTCTAAAAGCATTTGATTTTATTGTCCACTTACCCAAGCAGAAATAGTAAAGTAGGCAAATGATACTGAAAACTGTGTTGATAACAAGAAACCATAGTTCCGTCATCAGCATTGTAAACGAGCATTGCCTACTGCTTCGTCTATATGATGGATATTCCTTTTAGGACAAATCATCTTTCTGAGAAATGAGACGTAGTTCTGAAGATATAATCTGGATAAAATTTCATGTAAAACAGCAATGCTTACTGGGAAACCTGACTGGCTCATTACCACTGGGAAATACGCCAAACAACTATCTGTCAGAATACAACTAATTGTATCTTTTAATTCCTGTCATCAGTAAAATCATTTAATCTCTTCTATTTGCTTTCTCAACGCGTTATCCTATTCTACATTTCCGTTATGAAAAGATTTTCTAGTGTTCAGTAAACAGACTTTCAAGATGGTAAGACGAAGGTCGTAGATATGAATCTTGTTGCAACCCTATTTATTTTCCAACTGCAATAATATCCAAGACTATCCGAAATAGTCCGACCGTCAAGTTTTGGATTCAGTGGACGAAAGTAAGAACTAAACACATACAAAATGAAAGTAAAGACTACAGATTCAACTAATTATTAATTGTCTTTTTCCTCTTCATCTATGAAACAAACACATATCAATCAAAAGAATGTCTATCTTGTAATAGGTGACAGTTGAACCCACAGTGAAAAAACTGTCATCATTAAATGATTATAGTATTTGTCCTTTGGGTTCCTGGTGGAACGTAAGGCTTCAGTAGTACATCGCCATTTCACTCTGTTCTCCACAGTCTTTTCAACCTAGCTCCAAGACTACCAACAACCTTTCATTTCTTCTTCACACCATCTAGTATATGTCATCCTCGGAAGTCAAACGCATCATTTCTCTTTTCAGTTCCACTCGAGGTACTGGCGCGGGATATCCTCAAATGGTCTTCTCAATGTATGTGCAACCCATCTCCACTTTCTTCTGCATATTTGTTGGGCGACGGGTTCTTGACTGGTTCGTTGACAGCAAGAGTTTGTGGAGACTGCATACAATTGTGTACAAACCACTTGAACTATAAGCATTATTTCCTTTTCATCGTTTCTTTTACACATTCTGTACATTCTTCCTAATACTTGTAAAAACGAATGTTGTTTATATATACACTTTTTTGGTTGTGGCGGTAGTTGCATCTTTTGCTGCTGCTAATCGTGGGAATATAATGTGCTTCTAACCATTCCGACTTCTGCCTCCATGACTATTTCCTGTCGTGTATAATAACTGATTGTCTTGGGAATTTACAGGACTTCTCATCCTACTTCCAAATATTACGACAATCAAGCCGACCGACGACCACAGTGGAGAGACAACAAATATCGCCTTCCGATCTCTGGAGTATCCAAAATTGTGGTGGACAATACCGAAGAGATAACCTCCAAGTAACCAGTGATTATCTATAACATTGACAATACTATTTATGCTATAACGCATAACTTTCCGTACATGTATCATAAAATCCTTTTTTTGTAACTCATACGTAGCTTGTCATTTTGGTTTACTTGACATTCTTTGGGTCCACTACAACCTACGATTTCAACAAAGTCACACAAACCTGCAACTTCTGATTCATGTCCATCGCATGGCCTCACACTATGGCATTACTCTTCACTATTAGCTAAGCTGCTACCCCTGAACCAAGTCAATAAGCCGATTCTCAACCAAATACTCGCACTTCGGCATGTATCACCCCTCTGCCTATGAAACTAATTACCTCTAGTCTGAACGGTAAGCAAGAACACTTATTGTGCTTCCGATAATTCTTAAGTTCTCGAAACTCAGGGTAGCTACCTCTCAAGCACAGGAAACAACCATCTTCCTTGATGAAGTTCGTTAGCAAAGCGGCTTTAAATCTTCACATCTTTCCTTCAAGAAATTTGCATTTACACCTCTTCGGCCGCTGCTGTCAGCCAGCTGACGAGAAACGTTTGCTGTCTGATATTATGCTAGTGAGCTGCCTGCATAAGTTCTAATTGTTGGGTAGTGGCAACTAGCATGTCCTCCATAAACTTTGTTGACAACAGTTGGGCTCCTATCTTCTCATTGATCCCAAATAATGTGCGGCAGACAAGATTCTTAAGCTTCATCATCAGCACTAAGTAGTCTTACTCTGCCCTCAGTCTCGCACTTCTGAGCTCCAGTATCCTATGAATTAGGGCGTCAAACTTTGCCACCAAGCAGGACAACAGAATTCCACCTTAATATATCATCTTGCTGTTCCCTGCCTTTTCGTAGCCTCTCAGGAGGGCCCCTACTAGGACTTCTCAATCGCCATCAACTCTAAAGTCCTTCAAGAACATTCAAATACCTTCATCCTGCAATGCTGCTCCCCAAAGTATCTTCATTCGTCCGTACGGTTAGCAACCCCACCAATGAAGAGAAGCCCAATACAGAAATTGATACTATTCATTAACTACAACTGATAATGATAAGAAATGATGAACCAAACAATACGGTATCCATCTACAAATAATCTATTGTTCCGCATCTCCTTCTGCACTGTTCTCACCCTTGATATTTCTATCCAATATTTTGCATTAGTTTTGCCCGATTCCTCACCAGTCGACGGTTGTCAGTATCAATATTGCTTCACACACCACTTGTATGGATTCCTGTAAGTAACTCTCAATAAGCGATTTAATCATCTTCCGTATCATGTTAGCAATCTAACACATATTTCTATTTTGCTTCCGGCTATTGATTTCAAAGACAGAGTGGCTTAAACATCCTTAAGTGCGGATGTGGTAGATGTTGAAAGCAGTATTGTTTGTTTAATTACATTTCCTTTTACATATATGTTAAAAATTTTAAAACGAAATATCATCATTAATTGGTCAGTTTAACTTCTTATCGTTCTACACAGTTGTGTAACATAGCTGACAACAAGTAATGCTACTCCATCTTTCTTGAACTATGCAGATGGTAATTTACTACTTTTCCAGGTATGATCTTCGGTAATATCATCTGCATATAAATTCAAAAAAACATTAGGTTTCCATGTCTAATTAAGTTATTTAAACAACTCATCGAACAGTTGTAGCTTTGATACAATTCTTGCGCATTTAACCAATCGATATTGTATCCTCCAATTGAGTAACTTTTGAATCGCTTGTTAATAATCCCTGGATATAATGCACGTTTTTCATACATATATAAGTGGACATAGTTTGGGCAAATGTAAACAACTGATTCGCTTGTTTAACCAAGTAGTCGGTTAACGTTTCTGTATAGATTGGATGTTCTTTATTCCACTTCAAATCATTATTAGCGCAGGGTTCATAATCAACGTACAATGTTGGTTTACGTTATGATCATCTTTTCCATTCATTCAATAAAAGCGAGTCCACGCTTCATAGCTAACTGTTTCATTAGTAATAATAAATTCTCTAAATGAAATTGACTATACTACTACCAATAGCTGGAATAGTAGTATCCCTACGACCACCAAAAAACATTTATTCTATTCGTTAGTAATATTAATTTTTAATGAAAAACTCATCATCACTTAGCATAAACTTTTCATATTCCTTCTTACGTATACATTTTCGATAATAATATTGACTGATTCTCACTGGATGATTACGAAAGTAAACAGAATTATAAAGATATTAATGATCCGTTTTATCTATTATGTGTATAAATCTTGGTATAGCATCAATATTTTGTTTCAATAGAAATAATGTTATCCGATTATATACATCAAATCCACTCAGACACTTCCGTTTCACTAATTAGCATTAAATTATTTGGTCAACATTTTCGTACATGTACAAAACAATTAAGAGGAATAGTATGCACAACATAAATCACTTGTGTAAACTGACAATTACTCTTATTATTTACACTACCTTCAATATTGTCAGTTGTAAACTGACTAGTAGCAGTACTCCCATCGTAATTTCGTGTATACATGTCTATATCAATGACAAAAAAGTTATAATAACCTCCAGTTAGATCATCCCCACGTTCGACATATAATCCACTTCCCAATATTATGCATATCGTTCAATAGGGTGTTACACCACTTTTCTTTCGATTCAGTCATTATTTTTAAACAATGACATACTGACTTTTGTCTTAAACACCAACGTTGATTTTATCCATTAGATTTTTATGTTTATTTAACTTCTTTTGATGTAATAATTAAAATATTGAATACGATTGCAAAACTTATTGCGATTATTAATGTCAATCTTTTCATTTTATTCCTTAGTACATATGCAAATGGTAGAAATGGATGTTCGGAAATGAATGAGTTGGGTATAGGTTGCATGATTATCTGAGTTTGGATAATAGTGCAGTCTAAGGAGCATGTGGATTTCAAGTAGAAAATAATAATAATAATGTTGACACAGAAGTGAGAACTGAGTCGACTGAGCATAGATTACGTCATTCAGAACAAGATGCTTCACATGTTTCAGATAGTCTTCGTCCTCTCATTACGCTGTTTAAATTTACCAAAGAGACCAGTTGCTTTAAATACTTGATAGTATTTAAGCAGAGATAATAAGAAAACTGGGTGTGTTGAGATGAACAATAATGGTAATAATGATAATGGGCACAATATTGATACGGTCATCATTGGACACCAAAATAAGGAATCGCTTGGAAGTGCAGAAGCCTGCGCGATTCCAGTTGTCAAACCAAACTTCTGCATTCAGAAGGAAATGGTAGTCAGCTTGAGTCTGCTATGGTAGGAGCTAGTGTCGTCCAATCATATCCAATCTCTCTTACTACCCTCTTAATGATCACCCAACTCATATTTTCGTTTTCCGTCTCTGATTCGTTTCGCCTAATTAGCCTTATTCCTATTACCATTGTTATCATTATTATTCACTTGAATACACACCCGGTTTTCTTATTACGTCTGCTCAAGCACTACTAAGTATCTTGTTCAGAATGACGTAATCTACGCTCAAACGATTCAGTCCTCACCTCTGTGTTAACACTATTTTTTTTTTACTTGGAATCCACATGTCCCCCAAACTGCACTATTATCCAAACTCATAGATAATCATGCAACCTGTCCCCAACTCATCCAATTCCGAACATCCATTTCTACCCTTTGTATTAGCACTTGACCTCTAAAATCTGTCTATTTCTACGTTATTACACCAAAATCGATGTCTCAATCTACGCTATGTATGCATGTTCTTTTGCATTGTTTAACGGTATACATTATCGAGTATGTAGAGTATCCAGCTGACGCGTACTACTGAAATTTATGAATTCATTATATCCTGCTTTTTTCCGAGTGACTTTAAAGGCCACCCAGGGACAACTGAAATAACCAACCAGACTTCTCTATTTTATGAAAGTCTGCCTTTCCAGCAGAAATGAAGAAACCTGATTGCTCATTTCGATTAACCAGGTGGGGGGGGGGGGAAAGATAGAATAAAAAATCTTTGTTCACCGAATAGCCACCTCACACACGCCACAACAGTGATTCGTAACTGACTAAAGATATTTAGAAAATATATAAATAACACTATTTTATCAAAATAAACTAGTGTACTGTGGAGTTATGCTTCAATAAAATACTCCATTCCCACAGTTCCACTAATATACATCAGTTGTTTAATAACCTTCTTTCAAGCTCATATGTTCGATTCCGTCTATGAAATTATAAGATTTTCTACCTGACTAGACAAAAAATCCTATCAATTTCAACTGTGACTTATAATCCTTGCTTTTCGTACTTTCTTGACTTTTATTCTGATATTTTGAAGGTTGAGTCTGCAAGTTTCTTCATCCTTGCTTTATTCATAATTATCAAGCAAGACAAATGTATAAAATACTTAATAATAAAGACGAATGATGGCTAGGAGTGGAATCCAGGACGCGTTTCGTCCCATTCGGGTCTCGCCGGCTAGATGTGTTTGCCTCCCGGTTAGCGATGTGGTCCCCACTGAGAGCCGAACCCAGGACCGATAGCTTTAAACGCCAGATCATTACCCACTAGGTTACTGAGTCACCATAATCACTATTAAGTAGCACCATCTATGAAGTGACCAAACAAAAGTGGAGACATTATCCGGATGATTGAACTGTAGATTACCTTACCCCATAATCAAATAGAGTAGAGGTTGGATTGGTTTTTCAACTGTCAAAGTTAAAAAATCATTGGGCATTACTAAGTGCAATAAGTATTTACAAATCCGTAAAGCTAAGAAACCTAAAATTAAACTGAATTTCCTACCATGCTGTAATCAAACTTCATTCTCACAGCCTTTTACATTTCTTTTTCCTAAGACTGGTTGCCTCAAGAACAATGCGAATACATAATATATGCGTATTTCAAACGGTTATAACTCGCACGACAGTGGTAAATATAGGAAATCAGCAGAGAGGACCAAGACTGTAGATACACTGAATTATATCAAAAAGTCTGAAACCAAAGTTCAGGACTACCAGCTCATTATCATCAACCTTCGACCATCATGCAAAGTCATTTTAGCCTAGCAAATCCGAACAACATAACTCGGTTAGGAAATGACCGGACACCACGGCATTGACTGCCACTCAGTCGCAGATTCGTACGCATTCTTTTGCACAGTACCAGTCAGCCTATATTGCATACTCCCCAAGTATCCCCAAAATGGTGATATTTCCATCTTTGAAACATCAGTTAACTATCACCTCGCATATTGCCATGTAGTCAACCCTGTTTTTTCAGGAAGAAGTAGGATTGGATTTAATATGCATGTGAATACTTAAAGAAAGAAATAACCAGTGGTCGTGTTTATCACGCAATAAACCTTAACACTTTTAAGCACACAGATAAGTCAGCTTTGCGAATCACTACGTACCACAAATAACTATTCCAACTATAAACTCTCATTGACAATAGAGAATTACTAGTATACCATGTTTCTCTGTCGACATCTTCGAAGGTGAAATAATTCACAAACTTAGGAAGCACATTCCATCTATCACTTACATAATTTACATACTGCAAATACTTCAAAATAAATTAAATGTTTGGAAATGGTAAATGTTGAACGTAATTCCGAGTTATCTTCGTTACAATTTTATACAATTCCAAATTTACACCATCCATGAAACTGAATGAAAATGCTGTAAGTCTATAATGTTTTCCATCGCTTGGTGATAAATTCAATTCTCCAATAAATTGAATAATGCGTTCATGAGCTGACTGATTTAAAAAGCACTGTTTCTGATCATCAGTTAGATACTTTACATCCACAATGATACAAGGAATAGCATCTCCGAGGAAAGGAGATAGTATTTCAACTAGGTTACTGTCAGCTTCAAAAGCCGAGAATCTGAAAAGCAGGTGTAAAATAAAGCGTTCATAACTAGTGATAATATGAAAGCAACTAATTTCCTGTAATAAATTATCTACACGTAGGACTTAACTTCTGACAGATTCGTAATCCTTACTAATAATACTGACGACACGAAGTTCAGACTTAGCTGTAGTTAAAACAGGAATGACTTGTTATTTACTGATACTTGCGATTTTTTGTGGCTCAGTGGTTTAGTGGATAACACTTTCGCGTTTCAAGCGGAGACACCACCACTCACTGAGATACAGACACACCCATCTGATTAATCCCATATAGGGCGAAACGCGTGCTTTGGATCCAGCTACTAGCCACCATCAAACAAACCATAGCAAGGGATGACTTGGTTTGAAACCTAATGATTTGTATAAGAATAAAACTTGTCACTGTGGCAGAATATAATCCCGTATTGGACTGTTTATTTGGTATGGCACACAATGATGCAGTATTATTGAGATGACGTTTTAAGAGGAAGTTATTGCTCATATTCATATGCATGAATACGAATATGAATTATTTAGAAAGGATAGGCGACATGCTAAACGTTGTTAACTTGTGAAACGAAACATTCAATAAGTTATATGTGAGTGTATATACAGGGAACAAATAACTAACACAAGACTGGTTCAGTGTGGTGGTTGATCGTCAAACTAGTTATAATTAACAGTGAATAATCGAGAAAAGTCTATTGGACCCAAAATTTAAAGACAGAACTACAGAAAAGTAAACATGATTTCTGATTAATTACTCTTTGCTTTTGGAGACTGATAAACAACGAAGGAATAAACCATATGCTTAAAATCCAAATGGTTTTTGAATAATGCATTATTCTATGTTGCTCTTTGATTCGGTTCAAATGGTCGCCTTTCATATCAGCGCACCAAGAGATAAGACAAAGATGAAAATAAACAGCGAAATACCAGTCAAATACAGTCATGTTTTGTCTGTTGTTTCGTTCCAGGTGACCTCGGAACTTCAATTGTAAAATACCTGCCACCTAGCTATACTTTACGTTTGAGAATCTAATCGTCTTTATCAAGCAATATCAAAATGAGATGAAGTATTATTATGCGATAGTCTAAATGGCCATACTTTATAGAATGATGAAAGATAGAGAAATTGGAAAAAAGTAATCACTAGCAGTAGAAAGTTATAAGGAAAGAAAAAAAGAAGGTACAACGATAAAGAAATAAATGACTATTACGATGAGGATAATGTATGGATGCACCTATACTACGAAGAACAATTCTGCGCCATATCACTCAGTCCCCGACCACCAATTTCCGTTAAAAGATGGACCTCAACCGAGAGATCTACATTTCCCCATACTGATAAGATCGGCAGTCAGAGAATTCATTGACTGATGCCATATTTTCGTCTGCCTTTCTCGATTCTTTTACCATTCTAATCCTACCTCAACCAAGCAGACGGTGGTTAGGCATACTTAGTACACGTTCTGGTTACCTTATTCGATGAAGGTTTGCAACCTTGTTAGGGATGCCTAATCCCTAAGCAAAACTAATTCATATGTTTATATCATCACTATAAAGTTTAAACCTTATTTTCGTGCCCTTTTGCAACACGGTGTTACTTATTTTTAGCGCAGCTTAGGATACTAAACGCTGATTAGCCCATTTTACACTTTTAATATGCGATTTCGTTTTCCCTGGTCAAGGCCATCCAAGGATATATAAACGAATGAGATCTCAGCTACTAGGATTTTGTTGAAGTTAATACACTTTCAATCCCATCTTCTTCTACTTTCACCTGAATATTGAGTTGAGAAGCCATTGTTCTATAGGTATAGCTACAAAGATTATGGGATGACAGCCTTAGTGCCAAACCCAAGCTGTCAAAAAAGAAGTTTTTTTCATGAGTAGATTTGTCTACCTACCTCCCCGCTTATCTTCAGCATCCTGTTGAGAGTTATGGTGCGACAAACACAAACTACATACTGTCAAGTTTTTCCCGGTAATGACTGAGATAAACACTGACTGTTACAATAACTAACAAATTTCAATTCAATGGATTTAATTTATAACCTACCTACCTGCTTTCCGTTAATGATACGAGAGAATATGAAAGGTGAAAATTATAAACAATGAAACTATACAACTCACCAGTTATGTATACACTAGATTATGATTTACATCTCTTGTATGCCCCTCAAACGCCCTGAAATGACCAAGAATGGAATGATCCCCATCATATCAAAACGCTGTCATACTGCCAGTGTCCATAGCCTTGGCCACGGAAGTTCTACCGCCTATCTTTAAGTGGCAGAATGTTTCCACAAAAGTGGGTGAATGAAAGTGAACGTTCAGCACCACAACCGGATTAATTTATACGGAAAGTACATCTAGGGAAGTTAGAAAGCCCTGATCCAAAACAGCAGTCATAGACCTCATGATCGAGAAAGGAGAAATAGCATATGAACCTATCTCAATCACCGATAACCTCACATTCCTCCGCTGCCTTATCGACTAGACTTTAAGCCAAGGGCATGGGGATCTAGGCGTCCAGACAGTATTCCCAGACCTCATATAACTTATGGATCAATAATAACAATGCAGACTAGTAAGTGCTCATGAAATTTTATTGAATGAGTCATAATTCACAGTTTGAGTATTCAATATATTTGTTCCTATATATCCGTCACTAGCAAATATAATTGCATATGTTTGTTTGTTTTACTCAGCTGCTTGTCACTGACTAAAATCCCAAGCTATATGTATCGTTTTGAGTCATCAAACAGTTGCTTACAGAAAGCTGTCTTTCAGTGTGACATTTAAAACAACTATTCCGAAGCCGTAAGCACCACCTTAGCTGGCCACTTCCGACGTTCGGACCTAGATGCATATATAGCACAACAGATAGGTTTGGTTACGACTAGGAAAAATCTCACTATTGATGCATGCCGTAGCCCACAGATCCGTTTACAAGATCCTAGTGAAGCACTTCGCGTAACTTCCCCATCTGTCAGCTCAGAAAGTGTGTTCAAAATGCGACAATCTGGTTACACTGTGAAATAAGCAGCCGGTCCCTTTAGAGTTGGAGTCGCGCTGAGTGCCAAAGGAGAAACTGCACTATTTACCTGGATTCCCATCAACAGTTGTCCATGCAATACCTGGTGAGAAGGTTCGACTGGAGTAAGAAGTAAGTGGCAAATGAACCGATATCTTTTCGTTACCTGTCACTATGCCCCAACTAAGTGCAGTTAAGGAAGAGTTCTACAATGAACTGAATGACTGCTTACTAGGTGAGATCGACAGATATCGTAGTGCTAGCTGGAGACTTGAATGAACAGACTAGACGTCTAGGCCCAAAGGAGGGGGTGTTTAACCGGCCAATGGGGACCAGTCGGTTGCAGGTCGCATAATAGAGAATACCTTCTGGGGGTGTTTGCAGACTATAACTTGTTTCAAGTCAGCACAAACTTCCGCCCAAGCCATCGCCGTTGTGCTAACTGGCATCCGCCCTCTGCCACTCGAACCTGGATTCGAGAGATCGTGCAACTCAGTGGCTTGAAACAATAACAAACATGACTCGGAATCGAAACCAGTGGCGATCACGTTTCTTTTGTTACTGAAAAGTAAAATGCAGATAGTGAATGCTTTTCTGAATGAATGTTTGAGAGTGCTTCTTTGATAACCCTTTCCTGTCCAGTTTCCATTCTTTCTTCTATTTTGCCTCTCTTCGTAATGTTACTTGTTACTTTGTATAGCACACCCCCTAGGTGCCCATGCTGTTACAAGTTTGGGACCTAATAATGATGATTACATCTCTCTTGTGACTAGTTATAATAATTAGCTTGCGTGTATGGTTCGATACTGCTACACATTAGGTGGAAATCAAATACTACGTTTAATACTGCACAGTTGTGAAATTCATATACAACATAAACAAAACAACTGCAGATTATTCTGCAATTCTTGATGTAGTGACGAAACCCATAAAAAATTTGAAAGTACTGGTAAAAAACAACCACTTTCTAGAATACTACATGATAATTAGTGGCATTGTACTGAAGAATTAATTTGCGTCATTATTTTTGCGAGAAATAACTATATTGTTAATATGACAAACTGACTGACTAACAATTAGGTTATCTTAAACCACCTTTATATCTATTTTTGTTAATGCTATAAGGATGGCAACAAATAATATGCAGTTTCAGCAACTTTAAAAGGCATTCAAACGACTACTAAAACAAACAACTGGGTTTCCTTATTGTAGCTGACAGGATAACTTTTTGTAAAATAAGGAAACTTGGTTGTTTATTAAAGTAGCTACTAGGGTTGACCTTTAAAATCACTTTGCAACCGTAGTCTATTGTGGGTCACCTTGCTGGCATATAAATTTAATGGTGTTTACCTACCTTGTCTTTATCTTCATCATGCGAAGCTGGAAAGGGGAACCAGTAAGTGAATTTAATGAAAAAACTACCCTAAGCCTTAATAAAGGAATCTAATTGGTAGCTTCTGAAGTTTCTCATCATCATCATCAATATCAACAAAGGACCAGGCATTACTACTAAGCAACGGTCCGAATTACCACACCTCATATCAGTACATCAAGTAAAAAGGCAGTGAAGTGCAAGATGAACAAAATAAAACTCAGTCAAAAGAAATATAAAGTACGAAAAGAGAGAAATGAAGAATGAGAAAGTGGTGAGATTCAGCATAGCGTCGTTAAGATGAGGATAGTGTATGTATACATCTGCGCCACGGACTGGTCTTGAGCCATATCACCCAGAGTCTCCAACCACTGGTTCCTCTTGCCCCGCGAACCCCGGCCGCCTAGTCTGCATCTCCCCACATAACTCAAACCAACAGTCAAAGACTTCATACATTCTTGCCATGTTTTAGTCTGGCCACCTCGAGCCTTTTTCCAACCTGAACCTAGTTCGCCCAACATTGTGTGACGAGATAGACGGCAACTAGGCATAAGTAACACGTATCCCAACCATCCCAGTCGATGAAGGTTCACGACCATGTCAACTGATTCACCTCTTCTCCCCACAACTCTACACCTAACTTCTGCATTATTCACCTGGTGACACCACACAATAAGGCCTATACTTCGAAGGCACAATGTACTCAAACATCTGAAGCCTTCTCATGTCTTTCGCCCTCAATTGCCATGCTTCACAGCCATACAGCACAACAGACTGGACTGATGTGTAGTACACGCGGCCCTTAGTAGACAATCGGATATCACGGTGGCGCCACAGGTGGCGTGAGATGGCAAAATTCAGTCAAGCCTTTTGTATTCGTGCAGAAATTTCGTCGGCCACTGAGCCACCAGGGCAGGGCTGATCCCACTTCCCAGGTAAGTGAAGTGGTCGATACACTCAGCCACTACACTATTCTTAGCCGAGGCACTGTTGAAGACCAATCCTGGAGCAACGATTTGCATCTGGGTGGTGAAAAACGCATCCCAAACATTCTCAAATTGCCATTCAAAGTGTTCAGACAACTCCGCATCTTGTCAGTGTCTTCACCTAACAGGACTATGTCATCTGCGTATTCTAGGTCTAACTAAAATTCTCCTGCGATTAGGTCAATCTCTGTGTAGTCAGCTGATCAGAGGGAGACCTGCATAAGAATACCTATGATAAAATTGAATAAGAATGGAGAGAGTGGGCACCCTTGACGGACACCACTCGAGGAGCACAGTTCACCCGGACATCTCACCATAGGCTCTAACACGCCCACAGGTGTTCGAGTAGACAGCCTTCAATAGAGTGATGTACTTACTCGTCACGCCTATCAGTGAGAGACATTGCCATAAGACTTCTCGATCAGTGGAGTCGAATGCCGCCTTCAGGTAGAGAAATATAGCTATTGTCGGGAGTCAGTAAGCGTGTCTGTGTTCCAGAGCCTAGTATAGCGTGAATATTTGGTCGACACACCCGTGGCCGGGTCTAAAGCCTGCCTGGTTTTCTCAGACTTGCTGTTCCCGAGCTCCACTCAAACGTCGGAGAATTATAGAACCTAGTATTTTGGATACGATGTTCGTCAGGCTGATTCCTCTGTGGTTATCACAAGAGGACTTCTCGCCTTTCTTGAAGACTGGGATAATCAGTGATTTAGACCAGTCAGAGGGGATTGTATTTGATTCCCATATGCTGGTTAACACTGCCGTTAACATGACTAAAGAGGCCTACCTTACCATCATCCTTGTTAACCTCTGGAGCTAGTCCGTCTGGTCCTGCAGCCCTTTCTTGTTTCCGGGTTATCTACAGCTTTCTCGACTTCTGCAAGTGTTCGGGGGCCTATCTCAATGTTCCATTCAGGATCCGACTGAATAGCGGGCAATGCAATGGTGGCTGGAGGCCATTAAGACTGTTCCTCAAAGTGTTCTGCCCATCGTTCCAGTCGTCTCCCATACAAGTGGACCACAGATCCGTCCTCCTCCGCTATAGCTTCACTAACCGTTGTTGACCTTTTCCCCCCAGTTTCCTTAATAAGTCTAAATAACTGTCTACTGTTACCAATCGCCACTGTCTTTTTCATCTCTTTAGACTTCCTTGCCCACCACTGTTCGCGGTCGTTGCATAGACTTTTTCGCAGTCTACTTTTAAGTTGTGCTCGCTCTTCATCGTACTCAGAGTTTGCAGGGATGCGTTCACGTGCATCCATTAGTTCGGAAGAAGCTGCTGATATCCATCGGCTCTTTAAGCCACTCATTTGGAGTCGGCTACAGTCTTCAGTGCTGCTTTTACAGCAGACTGGAGATGGCACAAAGCTTCTTCTGGATGAGTGGTAGTCTTCTGTTCCGATAACTGCTTAGGCAACTTCTCACTGAAAGCGGCTTTGGTGTTTTGGTTGTCGAGCTGAACTCAATGGTTTTGTTGCTAAATATTTCCTACGTCCATTGAGACGCAGGCATATGCGCGCTCGGACCAACGCACGGTCGCTATCCAAACATGTACTCCAGAAGGAGCTGCAGTCTTTCACCGATCCTCTGCAGCGACGACTGATAGCATTGTGGTCCATCTGTATCCATTTCTGAGTTGAGCTCGGTGGACGTCACATCAGGTAGTGTCTTTCTTTGTGTCTGAAATTTGTGCTAGCTGAAAATAAGCGGTTTTCTGAGCATAGTTGTAGTAGGCGATCACCGTTATCTGTCCGTTCAGCCGTGATTCCGAAAGTGCCACTTAGTGTCTTTGTGCCTCACTCAGTCTACCCACCTGTGCATTGAAATCACTTGCGACAACCACCACGTCCGAACGTTTGGCTTTCGAGAGGAGGCTAGACAGTTTATGGTAGAACTCATCCCTTACTTCATTCGAACTGTAGTCAGTGGGTGCGTAAGCAGATATTGCAAAGAGAAAACGGCCAGTTTCACTATTCCTTTTAGTTTTCACTGTGCCGTTCAGCCGGATAGCGCAGAGGCGACTACCAACTGGGATCCAGTCTACTAGTGAGCTTTCTGCCCTAGTGCTTAATGCCATGCCTACACCTGTGAGACCGCGAGAGTTAGCTATCGAATCTCCAGAAACTCGAAGGGTAAATTTCGTGGGTTCACAAGATTGGCCGGGATAGGTTAGGTGAATAACCTCACCTGGGTCCTGTATGCGTGTCTCAAGCACAGCACACATCCATGGTCTGAGTTGCTAAAGTCTTTGCCAACGAAGCCTGTAGGCTGATTTGACGGAGGGTGTGGACATTGAAGGTCCCGATATGTAATTTGGAGCATAATTTAAGAAGACTAAGGATGCTGTTCTGTGGATTCAGATCGCTATCAAAGGCTGAAGAGCTAGGAGAAATTGGAAATGATGATATCCTACTGACTATTAGAGTCGAGTTTACTCTGCTGTAGTCTTCTCTGTTCTACTGTATGGCTGTGAAACATGGCCATTGAAGGTAGCAAACATGAGAAGGCTTCAGGCGTTTGACCACCGTTGCCTTTGTAGTATAGACCGTGTTACTTGGTGTCACCACATGAGTAACACAGAAGTCAGGCGAAGAGTTTTAGGCAAGAGAGGTAAGTCAGTTGATGCTGTTGTGATTCTTCATCGACTGAGATGGTTGGAACATGTGTTACGTATGCCTAGCCACCATCTGCGTCGTAGCACAATGTTGGTCGAAGTAGGTTCAGGTTGGAAAAAGATCAGGGGCGGCCAGGCTAAAATGTATGAAGTCCTTGACTGTTAGTTTGAGCCACGTAAGGCGATGCAAGGGTTTAAACATTCGTCCAGAACCTATTTCTGATCAATTAATGTCTTTTAAGTGGTACAAAATACTTTATCATTCGACACAGGTGTCCTATGTTTCAAAGTGGTTCAACAGTGACCTACACAGCTGACCTTTTGCCGTAAAAACCTATATTTATTAATTAGCGATGATGGATGTCTCAACCACTAGGTAATACTATCATTTAAACTGATAATTTAAACATTAGGATTTTAGGCTATGTAAATATAGCTTACCCTACCTTCTCCAAACTGCTATGTGGACTATAATGAAGAGGAACTAGCATGACAACTGACCAGAAGTGTATTAAGTCTATAGCCCGAACAAATTTTTTTTTACAGCAGAGACAAACCCCATCTAAGAGGGATAATGCAAAGATAGCTCATGGCTTCTTTTCAAATGAAATTGGTGTAAGAAAATCGGGAACGACAAATACTGTGAACATATGCTGCAAAACTGGAAGCCTCGCAAAGTAATGATAGTCCATACGTAACTAATAAGTAACCTCACAAAAAATTCAAGAAAAGCAACTATACTTTCCTTGGCGATCATCCAGCACTTTACATAAGAACGAGATAATCTGGTTTACAGACATGACTCAATGGTCTAGGCACTCAACTTTCAACAAGTGGGTGACATAATCGAACTTCATCCCAACTACTGAGATTTGGGTAGCCGAAAAAACGGATGGGATTCATTGGCTATTCCAGGAATGTATACGTGGTCACTGAGTGTATTTCGATTAGATTTTTGATCTGACTCATTACATTAAATCTCAATAATATACATTAAAATACATGCAATAAAAGTAAAAACGAGTATACAATAACAAATTACCTGCCAAGAAGACGAATATTTACAGTCCTGTGATTCTGAATCATCAAGCGAAAAGTATCTGCGTTATTGAACAACTCATCAAAAAGGACATACGCTGAAGAAGTAATTTGATGCTTAAATTATAAAAATTAAAGAAACCAATCAACACATGAAATCATAAAAATTGAAAAACTATGTAAATAGTGTGAGAGTCTTACATATTCTGGTTTGCAAGGTAAATGAACATAAAACAAGTAATTTGACACTGATAAGCTACTCAGAAGTGGACAGTATCAGTCATAGTTATGTTGTTCATGATACATGATGGATGCACCAACTGCCGCGGTAAAGATGAATTCTTATACTGCTACAAATAATAGTTATCCGAAATGAAATTCTTACCACAAATAAAAACATGAACTGGGTTAATCGCATTACATGACTAAAACTCAACAATAACTGATCAATCAGTTAAGCTCTTCTACCTGATATGAAATTGATATACTCCCATTTCTTCAAATTCCGTTAAACTTAGACAACTTGAAAGCGAACATGTGCGCTCAGACATCCATACAGTATTGGCATGATTTCTACACACAACTACTCAAAAACAAGTGTCATCATCCTAAGAGTTTCATCGTGATCTAGAAGTTAATGAAGTGAAAAAGTCTTCTATCTGAAGATTTTCTGCCAGATGAATGTTAAATACACTTCAGAATCCTCTGAACGTTAACGTACCCATCCACAAAGTGAGAAACTAAGAATTTGTGTTTCAAAATATGGGTACACACAGTGTTTGTTGTTGCAATAACACAGAATAAGGCAACTGGCTAAAAATTCAGTCTGTAAAGGAAGCAACAGAAAAAGCAGTTCAGTAGGAACCACATATAGGTACATATGCCATTCACTTAGAATAAAACGCATAGCGAGTGACTCAAAGGCCAATTCGATTTTAAGGGATATGAAGTAACTAATGGCCAGCAATAATAATGATATACTCCAACTCATTGGACACACAGACCAAGAGTTATCGATGACTAGTGAAAATGTAACTTGAAACGATTGAGTATATCAAATGAAACTCACTAACCTTACGGAGTTGCCTGCATTGGCCAGGCTGAACATGTTTAATGACGACTAGTGCTACCACACTACGGTGATCAACGAATTACAATGGATTTCTCCGGGAAAGAATTCGAAGAAATCTTCAACGGTTACCACTGAAACTATTAAGGTTATGAAACCTGTTGAGAAAGCTTCGAAAGCCGTCAACAGGAGACCAAAGGAAGTCCCACCAACCTCCAGTGTGATCTGAGATGTTGAGGAGCCGGTGGACGAAGACCCTTCAGTACGTCATATACATGATCGGAAGCTGGTCGAGTCAACCATCAGATATATCCTACCTGAAACGTCTAAAGGAGTACATATCACCAAAGTAGTCAGGTTAGGTACAAAAAAAAGGATGACAAACCCCGATGAGAGTAGGATTTTGGAGGGCGTTCTAAACAACAAAGTGGGTGTACTCTTGAGTAACGCAACCTAACTACGAACTTCGAACGTTAGCATCCGACCTGACTGGCCTCTCGAGGACCGGATAAAAAGAAGTTATCGCTGAATTTAAGGCTCGACAAAGTAAAGGAAGAAATGTTAAAATTGTAGGCTTTCGGGTTGTGAGGTCTTAGAAAGGAATGCCTTTAAGGCCTGTATGGATGGGTCATGAAACTCTTCAAGAACTTTGAACGTTACCTATACCAATGTTCGCAGCATTATCAATAAAATGACAGACGTCGAGACTAATCTATGAACTAGGACCGGATGTAGTGGCCCTTATTGAAACGCGGTTCGTAAAAGATTTAGATTTTACGCCACTTCTAACAGGGTATTACTGTATAAAGACAGAGGATTGTGGGTCGTAAAGGTGGAGCCATACATCTCTATGTTCATGATGATGTCCACATACGATCGGTCATTTCAGAAGCACATGAATGCGGTACCTGCGAAGTGACTAGTTGTGAACTGAAGTCAAAGCAAGGTTTCTGTACTATTGGGGTAATTTACTGTAGTCCATCTTGCCTTGTAAATGACTTCGTGCCAACTCATATACGTAACTGGAATAGAAGCAATATATGCCTCATAGTTGAGAATCTGAATTCTTCACATATAAAGTGGACGGAGTTTACAGTCTCAGCCTACGGCAGTCGCTTTGAAAATGATCTACTTTTGACGGTACTAGAATCTGCTTTAGTTCGGAACGTAACGATACCTTTTTGAACGCAAACCTTCGTTGTTAGATTTGGCTTTAACCCATCAGTGTGAAGATATGGTGGATCCGCGGTATTTCCCTCCGTTAGCTAAGTGGTTGTGCGGTGCTCTCGGATTTGGAACGTGAGTTTGATTACTACACTGCTTCAGCCAGACCTAATGTGCGCAGACATTTCAAGTATAAGACATTGTGCAGTAGGTAGGGGTTGGACTACCGACAAGGACTCATCAGTCGAACTCTATTCGATGCCATTTATTCCATAGTTGACTCTACGAAAATCCTCACACCGCTCTCCGTGGTTTAATAAAAACACTCAGGAATTATTAAGGTGGAGGAAACATGTATGGGACTTGTTTATAGAAATTGAACTGGGGACATTTAAAACTGGGTACTGTAAAGTCCGTAATTTTGGCAAAACTTTGGTTACACAGTCCCGAATGTCCTACGAGAAACAGCTTGTGAGGGATTACAAAAACTTCCCTAAGAGACTGTTCGCACTTATTAGGACTAAGAGAAAATTTGGAATTTCGTCTCTGGCGACGGATGAAAATTCTGATAGTCTGGCCTAATATAATTTGTTCGAAGCTGAATGCCTATCGAATTACTCTAAAGAGGTCTTCTCTTTAGATCACGGTGGTGAATCGCTCAATAGTGGTGTCATCACTGCCCCTCCAATGGATAGTGTTCACAACAAAGGAAATAGTCTTCCAGTTGCTCATCAATCTTAAACCTGGGAAATCCCCGGGTCCCCATGAGTTGCACCCCAGCTTGCTGTCTTTCCTAGAGGATATTGTCGCTGAGCCAGTCATTGATCTTCTCAACGTGTTCCTATCTCAGATTAGCCTCCCTATAGACTAGAAAGATGCCATAATCAGCCCAATTTCTAAGGCCATTAGTTGTCAGTTGGTGGCTAAGTATCGCTATGAGTCGAACGAGTATAGTTACTAAGGTTTTAGAAAAAGTTAATTCGTAACAACGTACCTAACTATGTTGAATCATATAATCTTTTGGCACCACGGTTTTCATACTGGACACTCCTACTTAACAAACCTTACCGCGAGGAATGGGTCGCAGCCCGTGATTGCAAGCTGCCAATAGATGCTGTGTTTACAGACTTCAGTAAGGCATTCAAAATTAACCGTCCCATGTGAAATTACTAGGAAAGCTCTTCTCTTTAGGGTTTGGTGTTTCACTGCAAGCTTGGATTAGAGACTTTCTGTACGACAGAAGGTAGGCAGTAAGGGTAAGTGGGATACAGTTCGGACGGAAGCCCGTGATGAGCGGAGTTCCTCAAGGAACAATCCTAGGTCCACTGCCTTTCTTTTTATGTGTAAATGAATTACAGCAAATGCTCAACTCTTCAGTGCTGCTATTTGCCGATGATATGAAGGTTTGGAGAGCCATACATAGTGATGATGACATGCATGCACTTCAAGCGGATTTGGATTAACTGGGAGGTTGGTCCAAACGTTGGTGCAATAATGAACATTGGTCATAGCAATCGTTTAGGGCATTCCGTTGGTGGTACACTACTACTCACAGACTTGGAATTGAAGGACTTAGTTGTCATAATGCTGATTTAAAAACCTCAGCGAACCGTAATGCAGCTGCAGCAAAGGGCTTTCGCGTATTATGGCTGATCGGCAGAGGTTTCAAAAGTTTTTATCAGGATATGTTCATAATACTCTATTCTACTTACGTTAGACCTCACTTGGAATACTGCATTCAGGAGGCCAGTCTATGCCTGAAAAAGGATGCTGCGACTTCGGACGTGGTCAAAGGGTAGGTACTACGCTCGTGGCAGGGTCTTCCCAATCTACCCTATGAGGAATAACTGGATCGGCTAGACTTATTCCCAGCCTTACCATGGAAAAACGGAGTGATTTTTTACTGCCATTTTGTATTCTTAATAATGACTTCGGTACTGACATGTCCAACTTTTTCTCCCCTGCTAGAGTTGACTACCTCCGAGGGCGTCACAAGAAAATCCAAAAACCACGATCGAATTAACTTAGCGAGGATCCACGTTTCTCTTATCGTGAAGTCAACGTCTGGATCTCTTTACCTCAGCAAGTAGTATAGGCGTCTTCTGTCAACGGGTTGAAGGAGAAACTAGATCTTCACAGAGATATCTTCTGGAAGGAATAAAACAGGCCAACTAACCTACTATTCTTGTTACTGAAAAATGTGAATTTCAAAGGGTTAACCCTTGGAAATTAGTTCAAGACTAAATACCTAACTAACTGAACTAAAACACCACCTGGAATGTCTGCTTGAGGTCTGTCGCCACAGACGACATGGTTTAGCAACCAGCCATCCAAATCTAATACTGTTTTTAAATGAGTGATGAGGTTGTTGTACTCCAATATCCAATATCCAATATTGATAGTGCGAGCGTCGAAAACTGGTAGTTTTTGATCTCTCGCGTCTAGTTCTTAGGGCTTGGTTCGAGTTGTTCGGTTTACTCCTGCAGTGGACGAGGAAATCCCCTCTGCTTTCTTGCTTTTAGCTTCGGTGAGGTGGATGTTTTGTGGGTTAGTAGGTTGTAATTTGTAGAGTGATTAGGGAGCTACGGGTTGCTGGAAGTTTAGAGAACTGCCGTGACTCCTGTCTGTGTAGGTACCTGAAAGAGAATAGTAAGGTATTGGTAAAGGAACGAAGAGAGAATAAAGAAAAAAATGAAAAAATGAAGAAAAAAAGAGAGGAAAAAAATAATAATGATATAGGGAAGAGAAAGGGAAGGAGAAGAAAAGAGAGGTGAAAAGAGAACGAAAGAAAAGTATTTGGGAATTGCCCGAATGGTCGCGTGGGTTTGGTTCCTACAGAAGAATTAGTAGGTAATGTGGGTGTATTAAGGAGAGAGATAGTGAGTGGTAGTTAGGAGGGAGTTGGGGGTACTGAGGTTGGTGACTACCTGAGTACGTCCGTGGTAGTCCATGCGAGGTGACATAACTGTCTAATCGCCTCTTGAAAGAGTCGACTGAAGGAGCTATAACGATGTGTCGCGGTAAGGCATTCCATAAAGCACATACTCTTAGGGAGAAAAATTTGGACCTGAGTGTGGTGTTGGCTCTCTGGTGTGCTATCTTAATGGGGTTTCCTCGTGAAGATCGTTCAGTTGCAGGCAAAATTGATTTGTTTGCATGGTCTGCCTGATGGGCGATCTTGTATGCCATAATGAGGTCACCCCTTTTCCTGCGATAACCCAAGGTAAATAGGTTGAGGTGTTTAAGTCTTTCAGGATACGTCTTTCCCCTTAGCCCCACAACTGATTTTGTTGCAGTTCTTTGTATTCTTTCAAGGAGATTAGAGTCTCTCTTGAGTGTTGGAGGAGCCACCGTATTGAAGACCTCTAGGTGCGGCCGCACGTAGGATTTGAAAATGGTGAGGAAGAGTTCGGGAGTGAGGGCGCCAAGCTGTCTACGCAGAAAGTGTAGAATGGCGTTCGCTCTGGTTGTCATACCTTTGTAGTTGGAGCTGGTGTCCAAGGTGTCGGAGAAGTTGAGCCCCAAATCTTTCTCCATGGACACTCTGGTGATAGCACGGTTGCTCAACATGTACTGGAAGTCGGTCGTACTTGCCTCATTTTTACTGATGTGCATTACTTTGCACTTTTCCAGGTTGAAGCTCAGGCCATTTTCCGACGACCAGAGCTCGAGTTGCTGCAAGTCCTTTTGTAGTGCTGCACAGTCGGCTTCTTCGTTTACCACCCTCCAAATTTTTATGTCGTCAGCGAAGAGGAGGATGGGTGAGGATATTTTGTCTGGCAGATCGTTGACAAACAGGAGGAACAGAAGCGGTCCTAGGATTGCTCCTTGGGATACTCCTGACGTCGAGGGTCTCCACTCCGACCTTATTCTGTTCACTTTAGTGCAGAACTGCCTCCCTTCCAGGTACTCCTTGAACCAAGAGAGTAGGGGTCCACTTATACCAGCTGACATGATCTTGTGAAGCAGTACTGTGGGTGGGACACTGTCAAATGCTTTGGCTAGGTCGAGAAATACATGTACAGGTTTTCTATTATCCCAGCTTTGTGTCCAGTCGTCCCAGGCGGTTAGTAAGTTGGTGGCACATGAGCGACCACTACGAAAGCCGTGCTGAGCAGTATGGACAGTGTTTTCCTATTGAGGAATTCCCAGATGGTGTCAGCTACCAGGCTTTCCAACACTTTCGACACAATAGGGAGTAGGGCAATTGGCCTGTAGCTGCCAGGGCTTTTTCTGTCTCCTCCCTTGAAGATGGGTGACAAGATGGCGCTCTTCCATTCTTTAGGGAGTTTGCACGAGTCTATTGAGTGCTCAAAGAGGTTGCGAAGTGGTTTGGTAAGCACCTCGGCGCAGTTTTTCAGAACCACTGGTTTCAGGTTATCGCAGCCAGGGGACTTGCCCGGACGTAGCCTAGATAGCTTCTCGAACACCTTTTTCTCTGTAATAGAGACGTGACAGAGGTATTCGTTATTTGCGACCTGGTCGGTGTCGTGGCGAGTCGGTGTGGATCTTGTGTCAGTGCTGAGTTGGGCTTGGAAGTGTGAGCTCAAAAGCTCGGCAATCTCTAGACTGCTTAGCACACTCCCGTCATGGCCTGTGACAAGATTCACTCCCTTACTGGTCGACTTTCTTCTTGACATGAAGCGGTACAGTTTTTGGGGTTGCTTTGTAACCTCGCTGCCAAGTTTGTTTGGTAGGAAAATCTGTCGTTACGCACTCTAATGTTACAGAGATTGCGAATCCTTTTGTAGTTCAAGAAGTCAGACTCCCTGCGTGATGTACGCCACTTGAACCAAGCCTGCTTCTTGCTCCGGATAAGCCTCTCTGTCCCACGCTTTAACCATGAGGTTCTCATTGATTGTCTGTGTGTTACTTCTGGTACACTGTGACTGATGGCCCCAGTGATTATTTTCTTCACCTCCAACCAGTGTTCATCTATTGTGAGATGAGTCCAGTCCACTGGCCATGATGCATTCATGAGGTAGTCCCTCATGGTCTCATAGTTGGCCTTGCTGTAGCAAGGGAAGGTGTTGGCGTCTCCAGTTGCAGAGCCTCCCTAGTTATCATGGAGAAGGTGATTACAGCGTGGTCACTGAGGCCAAGGGGAGGTTGGATGCAAACATCCTCAATGAGAAGTTCATCGTTCGTCAGAACGTAGTCAAGGCGCGATGCGTTTCCGTTAGGTCCCCAGCGTGTAGCATCACCCACTTTCTCTGAGAGGCCAGCAGTCTTAATTGCATCCTTCAGCTTCTGATTGAAGGATCTGATGCGTCTCCCTTCCGTCTCGAAGAGGATGGACGGGGTGTTGAAGTCGCCGGCAATGACTACGGAATCGTAATTTGCAGAGGAAGTCGTTAAGATAGCCTTGATGCCATTTCCTTATGTGTAGGGGAGCTGGTGGGGGACCGATATATGACTCCGAGCAGGTATTTGGTACGGTGGAGAGTGAAGTAGCACCATAGAGACTCTGGGAGCTGGGTTAAGGCCGTATCGCTAACCATCCTTGCCTTTAAACAGGAGTTTACGTAGATAGCCACTACTTCACTCAAATATTTAAACAAAAACTTATTACAAACCAGTCTTCTATCACTCTTTTAATATAATGAGCATGATATGTACCTAATGTGGTCAGATTTCCTCTCAAAGCTTACAGAAGATCATTCACTTTTTCAGTATCTCAACGTGATAGGACTGACTGTAACTTAGTGTATTAGTGAAAAGTAGCGTATGCAAAACATTCAGGGCATTTTCTCGGAAGGAATCTGATCGACACTAAATGTACAGAAGAAATTTCGAATAGATGAAGACGATGGCCAGCCGTTTGGCCTGTTAGATACTACGCGCTACTTCAAGACTGATCTGCACTTATATGCTGTTTAAAGATAGAAGATAGGAAGGTGAGATGCACTGGCCACTTTACAGGTAGCAGGAGTTATGATGGAATATTTGCTGACGATAACTCAGCTACGATACATAAGATTTGTTTCTCATTTGTTAATTAACCTATGCTTTGCACCGGTGATGTCAAACCATAAGCCGAAAGACATGTATACTGCACAATAATCCCACTGTAAGTCTTTAGGAGGTCGCAACTGAAAGCGGAATACTTACCTGACCGAGAGCTGCTACTCTGATGTTGTGGTCGAACTCTTAATTCACAATGACCCAAGGAGTTACAGTGGTGAAATAATTGTTCCCACGGGGTACTGCTGTAGTGCACCATCCTGGTACCAAAATACAACCAGGGCTAAAATAAGTAGAGTAAATTAAGTTAACTGAATAAACCTCTAGCCCGCCTCCGGATGCTTTAGGTGTTTCAAGTTTTGTTTTAACGAGCATGCATCCGAGCAGACTTGGACGCCATTTCGCGCTTCCTTAGTGCTGGTTATCACGCATGTACTCATGGTCCCTAGCTCAGCCATACTAGCTAGATAAGTTGATTAAACTTTTTCCTCATCCATTACTATTACATTTACTTTAATTGAATACGTTACTTCTTCAAATATATTCCCGAAGCAGTTCTTTTGATTTGTGTTTTGTTATCAGTACTTACAAGTTAGGTAAGGTACTGGCTAAGCAGACACTGGAGCACATCAGGTTAGGTAGGTTTGATCAAAAGTTATGAGATTGTAACAGACATCCCTACAATCGATGAGGCCGAGTATCATTCCTTGCTTTGCCTAGTACCTTTTTTCTCTTATCCTGCGTCAATTTATTAGGCCTACTTTTGTTTTTGGCGTGGTTTCTTGTTTTTTTATTGCCTTCCTCATTGGTTATTTTTGCTTTGTAATGTTTTTGTCGGCATCGTGCCTCGTTGGACCTCTTATCAATGGCTCACAACGACTCGGCTGCGCAGATGGTCATAACCGTTCAGCTCCCCACCTTCTGGGCCCATAGACCATCTGCGTGGTTCTCCCACGTGGAAGCTCAATTTACTTTGGGACATATTCCCCCACAGGAAACTAAGTCCAACTTAGCCATCGTCAGCTTACCGGAAAATGTGATCGATGTCCCAGACGTGTTAGACGACCAGGCACCGAACTTGTACGATAACCTCGAAACCGCCCTCATCAAACGCGTTGCACTTACTGACCAGCAGAAGGTGCGAGAACTTTTCAGAGATGTGCATCTTGGTGGTCGTAAGCCGACGCAACTGCCTCGTCAGATGAGGCAGCTGGTTGCAGATTTTAATATTGACTAAACATTTATCAAGCAACTGTGGTTACAGAGTGTACCACAGTCGGTGCAAGGAATCCCAGCACCCTTTCATAAGTGGCCCTTAATAGAGCTGGCGGAAGTGGCTGACACAGCCCAACACCAGCGTCTAAGCTGCTTTGCCTACTACCACTGGTTTGTCCAAAAACTCATATC